TCTCTCACCAGATTTTACTTTGTATGAAAAACTATTGTAATAAACAAATAATCGATCACTTTGTTATTCTTTGCTTTTCCTAGTTTTGCTTTAATAGAGAGTAATCAATTCCAAACAACACCAATTTCATTAGAATACTCTTTTAAAAGCATATGGAGTAACTGCAAATAAGTTTTTCACCAAAATGAATACTTGACAAATTTAATAAATTGTCTGACACGCACTTACCTCTATTTTCTGTTTTGCTTTTTTTATTTTTCAATGAAATTACTCTCGATCATGATTACAAAAATTGTGAATAAAAATGGCAATCGTTTTGACATAAAAACTTCAAACACAGGTGATGAAAATTAAGAAATAATCAGGGAAGTTTGAAATGATTGAGATTTTCATAAAATGAAAAAGTTACTGAAACACTAAAGTTATCTTGACGTTCAACCTCGACTTGGCGCTGTTCAATAAATATTAGTTTCTACAAACATGAAAATAGATCTTCTGAAAAAAATACTGACGTTGAGAAAATTGCACACAAATTCCTTCGTCAGTTCAGTCACCGTGAAGCTACTTTTCGAGTTTCTGACAAACAAAAAAAATTATGTATGATCCAGTGCGTGAGTACAGTTCCCGTGAAACTAAATTGTCTTTAGTCGATACGAGAAAGCAAACGAATCAATCATATGTGAAAAAAAGATTAGTTTAGTAAAATTAATAACTGATTTTCTTGCTATTGCTTTACATCTCCATTTAGTTAAATTTTTCAACTGGACCATTTACTGCTTTACAAAACTGCTTCTACAGAGAAATTGAACCCACAGATCCAAACAAATTAATGCTTACAATCCATCGTTCCTTGGTTCGATCACATTTTTTATCCGCGTGTCAAGCTATTTTCTGATTTTAGCTGTCCGTCAAGTCAAGGAGTGTGAGTGATTTATGCTTTCTACCTCCATTCTCAACACTGTTTCAAAACAAGGTTTTTTGACGATAATTTATTCATAAAAATCTTTGAACTAAATCAAATTAATTATTCAATTCGATAAAACTTTTGATTTACAGCCCGGTTTGACTCAAAAAAGGAATCCGGAAAAAACTCCTCAGTGCGATGTAAAACGCAGGTTGTACTTGAATGACAGGTGGTTTTTGCTTTTAAGAAAAGTGTTTTTCACAAATTCAAGAAAATGCAACGTTTTTTGAAACTATTTTTTTTTCATTATATTTGATTAAAAATTTTGATGAGTTTTGTAATTTCTTGGAGTACACTGTCAATGGGAAGTGACAATTGGAGTGGTTATTGGAAAAGCAGAAAAAAAGTGCAAGCGATATGTCGAGATTTCAATATTTCAACATTTCATTTGGCATTCCTGTGGTCGGCATACATGTTCCAGATCGACATACATGTTCAAGGAGTTAGCATCACTATCAAAAACACGATAGTTAAGACAAGCAATCTTGACGGATATTTGAAACAGTTGCTGAGGCAAATGGAAAATGTTTACTGGTTGGCGATGTGTCTTAGCTAGCTACACTTTTGACAAAGTTGTTCTTTCAGCTGACTATAAAATATAGTGCATGAAATTCGATTTTGTCTTTCATAATTGCCTCTTGTTCATTCAGTGTAATCGCAAGTAAAAACTCTTTCAACGACTTTACTGATTTTGGAGTATACAATCGCAGACACGGAGACAACGATGGTGACAAGGTTGTTATTGCTCAACAATTAATACTTAATACACTCTGGCAACATTGCGTACGAATACAAATGAATAACAAAACAAAATTTGATAGTACTCTGTTTGGCAATCAAACAGCTGCAACAAAAAGTAACTCTGAGTAAATGATAAAATTAAATCCAGTATATTGAAATCAGAGAACAGAATTTCTCGTGAAAAACTAAGAATCGTTGTTTTTTTGAATTGAAACAATGCCAAACAGCGAATAATTGCGTTCAAACACTACTTTCATGGAAGAATTTTCCGACCCTTAACAAAGTGCGCTATTGAAAAGGAAAAAAATTCATTGCACTTGGTTTTGACAACATCAGCTATCAGCCAATATATCACAACCGACACGAACTAAATTTTCCGTAAACAAGGTCAAAAATTGATGTGGCACAGATTAATCACTTGATGATTATTTCAGCTTTCTACTGCATGCATGCTGCGATTGATATAAAAAATTTGATGACAGAACAATTGCTTCCTTTGAAGTGGAACAGAACGGCACAGAAAGTGTTTGTTCGAATAGTAAAATAGACTGTGCGTTCAGTAAAAACGATGATAATCTCAAAACGGCAAGGAAAGGTGCAAACAGAAACAACAGCAGTCCTTTAGATTAATGCAAAAATAAACTTCAAACAGAAAAAAAACTTTGAAGGTGTCCTTTTAGTCTAGTTGATGACCAGATTAAAACATGAACAAATTCTATGACTTATTTCTCGTGCTAGCGTCTGGTGTTTAAATATGCAATTTCTATGAAACCGTTGAATTTATAACCAAAGCTTATCATCGACCAAAAACTATGCTGGGAAAAACATATTTTGGCAACATCTTTCATTTCCAGCCATTCGAAGTTTAACATGGTGATAATCTCAAACGATGATAATCTCAAAACGGCAAGGAAAGGTGCAAACAGAAACAACAGCAGTCCTTTAGATTAATGCAAAAATAAACTTCAAACAGAAAAAAAACTTTGAAGGTGTCCTTTTAGTCTAGTTGATGACCAGATTAAAACATGAACAAATTCTATGACTTATTTCTCGTGCTAGCGTCTGGTGTTTAAATATGCAATTTCTATGAAACCGTTGAATTTATAACCAAAGCTTATCATCGACCAAAAACTATGCTGGGAAAAACATATTTTGGCAACATCTTTCATTTCCAGCCATTCGAAGTTTAACATGGTCTAATGCCTAAGCGATGATTTCAATGGGATTTGAATTTGTGTGAATTATGAAAATTTTTCTACTGAGCTGCAAATGGAACTCAATTTTATTACATTTTCAGCAATTTGTTTTTACTGTGATAAAAACTCGGCACTTGCTGAATGTAAAACGATTTGTTTTTATATTTGAATTCAACTGTCAGTATTTGTTCACAGCAACTTTTTTGCCCCAGTTAAAGTTTTTTATTTTTTTTTTTCAAATTATTATTAGTAGACATGATTTTCTGTTTTGAAAATGAAGTAAAGTTTTCGAAGATCAAAATTTTACCGAATATCAAGCACTTTTAAGTTGGATTCTGCTTACAGACATAATAAACAGGTTTTGGCATAGCTCAATGTTTCAATATAGATTGTTGTAAAATTTTGTGAGCAAAATATTTCGTTAATTATTTTCGAGAATTTTTTTCATCGATAATTACTTTTTATTTTTTTTTCAAGTTGCTTAAATCTCACTCAATTAACGGGGCTTAATTGAAAACTGGGAAAAGGAAAAAAATCAGTTATCAAGTATTTGTGAATGAAATTTCTTTAATATTCTAGAACAACGAATGACCTATTTGAGACAATCTCGAACAAATCAATACATTTATAAACTGCTCTATTCCGCGCCTTGCAGCACTCCAAGCGAGAGAGCTATCCAAACACTTACTACTCAAAGGAGCAATTTTTTGATCAGTAAAGGACCAGCCCCTTCATCGCTAAATACGCTCATTACCTTCAGATTGCTTTTCGAATCTATGTTCACTTCGAAGCGAGTGATACTAAAATGAATATTTGAATACCTAATTGAAAATGAATATTTGAGCACGCAGAGAGATTCATCCTCCTTAAAATAGATTTTTCGAGGGCTGCCCTTACTCTTATAAACGTTATAGCGCATTCCTTTCTCTTAATTGAGAAAATGTTAATCTGGAAAAGGTGGATGCTCCATTTTGTTAACGTTTGTTAATCGCAAGCGTAATCATACGCTCAGGTTTTGTGCTCATTGTTAAGATCACAGTTTTGAAGTTAGCCGAAGTCACCCAAAACCAGCTATACAAGAAATTTTTTTGATATCAATGTTATGCTCCGCGGAATTTTGGAGAAAAAGAGAAGCTTATTTTGGTTACAAATAGGGATATTTGTTCCCACCATCTGAAAAATGTGAAGAAACTTTGTATTTGGGTGTGTTTTTTAGTCGTTATACGAACATTAAAAATTTTCAAACAAGTTTTTTTCATTAAATTTTTTTGATTTTTGGTCTAATTTTGAGCTAATGAGGTGAACGTACAGGCTTACAGAAGCCTATTAAGCATAAAACAAGTCATGAAATTGTAGTTAGTTTCCATCAAGTTAGTTTTTGATTTTTTTTTGTGCCATTTTGCCTTTTGGGAATCATGAAACACAAAAATTGAAAAAATTTTTTGCAAAAAACAAAAGATTTTTTAAAATTAATTTAACGATTTTTTTTGCGCCATTTTTCTACAGAAACTCTCTTCCAATTGGCCTATTAGAATAACAATGTCGCAGTTGCCTACTCTGTATTTTTTCGTTCAGATTTTTTTTACAAAGAGCAAACACTAGCGAATATACGACAAAAACAAACAACTCTATAAAATGCAAAAAAAGTAGAAATAAGCCTCGTATTAGCAAATTCATCAGCTGAGATTTGTTACTGCGACCTACAGATTAAGTTTTACAGCCTAGCCACTCAGCCACTGAAGCTTAACTTGTAATAGACAAACTCTAGTCACAAGTAAAGTAGAGAACAGATGCTATGCAATTTCCAATGCATGTGAACACTTTTAATAAACACTTTTATTTGCGAGTTAGGTTAGAAAAAAAAGGTTTGTAACTAAACACTTAGCTGACGCTAGTGTAATCACACCACACAGAAAAAACGATCATAGTTCGGAAAAAATGTAATGTTAGGACTATAGAAACATTCTGTGCTACGTGCACAGTGACTGGCTATCCTTGTCTTTATATACTTTCAAAACAAAGTTTTTTTTACCTATGATTTCAGGATAGAGGAAAAACAGATTTCAAATAATTTTTAATTTGACATTGAATATGAACTATAAGACACCTTTAACAGCTATTGCAACTTTAGAACAGCCATAGTTTTCACAACAAGTTTTTTTTTCACTTCGAGCAAATCGCAGTCGCGGTTGAAAATTATACAACTAGCTTTTTCAAATACTTATTAAACAAGGCAAGGCTATCGCTTTTTATGCATCATCCAGAATTGGACTTAATCTCAATCATCTGAAGTTGAGAAAAACACTGTTTTTCATACACAATTTAAATATATCAAAATTTTTATGGTTCTAACAACAAAATTTAAATTACTGCGAAATTGAAACTTACGCAATAAAGATTAAAATTGTCTTTCTATAGCGTTTTACGAAGAGCAACAGACCGTTGCATGGGTGTTAATGAACTCAGAAGCAGAAAAACCGTCATTTTTAAAGCTGATTCAATTTAGTTCTTTTCAAATTTCACGGTTTTTCAGGGCTGGTCTTCAAAAACATTTATTTCAAAAGTCAACCTGCAAAAACACTACCTTAAAATCATCCTGCAAAAAATATGTTCGACAACAGAAAATGACTCGTTATTCAATTAAATCTAAGTCTAAGTCTAATTGGAAGATATAAACAACAGTATTTTTTAAACATAGAATATTTTTCTAGTCTGAGCTGTGTTAGGAAATTGCGAATTCGGATGAATGATTGATTGCCATTGTCAGTTTGCTCTTCATTTCACTGTAGCTGCGGTAGCGCGGTAGATCCAGAAGGTTGAAACTGAAAAAACAAAACATTTAATCTTATGGAAAATGAACTAGCAGTTTGCCCAAAAACTGTTACATAAATGAAAAAAAAAAACTGATCTCTAGAGATTTATAAGATGTAACACAGACATTTAAAAACCCATTACTCTCTTAAAGAGCCTTGAATACAAACACTACGACAGTTTTGTAAGCCATTAGAACGCTTAGTTTTGGAGCGTTTTTCGTTTTCCCATCGTCTGCTGTTTTCTGTGTTTCCAACCTTTGTCCACATTGTCATCAAAATTGGCATTTGGCCGCATTACGCGTTTAGAGCACATTTTTTCAGCATCAAAAAATTCGAAAGATGTATGGTTACACTGTAAATATGATGTTAATGTAGAGAAAAGAGCATATTGCGGGGTACAGTTAGAAGAACTCTTTTCTATGTTTAGGCGCGGATAAGGAATCAACTTTCGAAGAACATGAAAAAAACATTTTTTAATGTGAAGTTTTTCGTTTTTACGGTCTGATTGACTTCCCTGACAAAAACTAGCTTTCTCTCTGCAGGGTTTAGATGAACTTACACAATTGAAACCTGAATTTCTCATGAGGTAATTGGGCTCAAGTACTGAAAACTACACTTTCTTAACTTTCATGAGAAACTCAAAATTCAATTGACAAATTTATCAGAAACACCCTGCAGAAAGAAAACATTTCTTTAACATTGATGTGGTGCAATATACTCTGCTGCAGTCAGACAATTTTATCCCAAAGAGGGTTATTTCTGCTCCGATTTGTCAATCAAAAAGTATGCTCAAACTACGCGGTTGATTGTTCAGCAGACCAATAAAGACCTCCTATGCAGCGCAACAAAGCTTAAGACAAGTTTAAATGCGCCAAGTTTAAAGGAAGGTTTTAAAAAAAACTTTTCAATTGAGGCCCTATTCATAATGAAAAACACAAAACCATGACAATTTATTTCTCCTTTTAAACGACGTAAAAAGACGTACATAAGTCAAAGTAGCATAAACTAAACCCACTTAAGTGAGGAAATAGGTATGTTATCACAACTACGAGAAATTAAAAATTAGAAAAAAGTACATCAATTATTGTTAAAATTGCTTAAATGAGCTTTGATTAAATATACGGTATTAAAATGATTTAAATTGATTATTGATTATAAAAAGTGGTTAAATCGAGTTTGATATGATCCAGAAACGTATGAACAGAAGATGACAACAAGATTCCATCACTCTACGGCATTTCTTGTTCTTATCAGGCCAGCTGCAGCTTCTTTTGAACGGTTCTACGAAGTTAATACGAAAAATGGCTTTCGGTTGTTATGATCTATTGCCTACCCTTTGATGTAGCTTTTTAGGAAATAAGAGGCAACCTCCTCCAGACCTAAATAAGCTCATCTAGCTCAAACCGATCAGCAACTTTCAAGCTGTTCGATTACTTGATCAAAATTTAGGACAAGTATAATTGCGCCAAATTTTAGGAAAGGTTTTTAAAAAAATTATTTAATTTAGGCCCTATTCCTAATGAAGAACACGAAACCATGACATCTACTTCTCCTTTTAAACGACGTAAAAAGACGTACATAGGTCAAAGTAGCAAAAACTAAATCCACATAAGTGAACAAAAACAAGAAAACCAAATATGTTTGTTATCACAACAAACAATTTAAAAAATAGGAAGAAGTATATCAGTTATTGTTTAAAATTGCTGAAATGAAAAGAAAAAGGCTTTGATTAAAAAAAAACTGTTTTAAAAATGATTAAATAGATTATTGATTATCAAAATTGGTTGGATCGAGTTTGATATGGTCCAGAAACGTATGAATAGAAGGATGACTTCCTTGAAATAGGGCAGGGACAACAAGATTCCATCCCTCTAAGACATTTCTTATTCTTACCAGGCCAGCTGCAGCATCTTTTGAGCAATTCCATGAAGTTATTACGAATAATGGCTTTCGGTTGTTATGACCTATTGCTTACCCTTTGAGGTAGCTTTTTGGTACTTAAGACCTTTTGCCTACCCTTTGATGTAACTATTAGTGAAAACCTCATCCAGATCTTCACTAATAGTCTCATCTAGCTCGAACCGATCAGCAACTTTCACAAGCTCTTCGATTACTTGATCAATTGCAACGGTAACCATGTCATTTGGTACCGAATTTATTGCAGGAATGAGTCGTAGAGCATATTGCGGGGTACAGTTAGAAGAACTCTTTTCTATGTTTAGGCGCGGATAAGGAATCATCTTTCGAAGAACATGAAAAAAAAAAACATTTTTTAATGTGAAGTTTTCCGTTTTTACGGTCTGATTGACTTCCCTGACAAAAAATAGCTTTCTCTCTGCAGGGTTTAGACTTACACAATTGAAACCTGAATTTCTCATGAGGTAATTGAGCTCAAGTACTGAAAATTACACTTTCTTAACTTTCATGAGAAACTCAAATTTCAATTGACAAATTTATCAGAAACACCCTGCAGAAAGAAAACATTTCTTTAACATTGATGTGGTGCAATATACTCTGCTGCAGTCAGACAATTTTATCCCACAGAGGGTTATTTCTGCTCCGATTTGTCAATCAAAAAGTGTGCTCAAACTACGCGGTTGATTGTTCAGCAGACCAATAAAGACCTCCTATGCAGCGCAACAAAGCTTAAGACAAGTTTAAATGCGCCAACTTTAAAGGAAGGTTTTAAAAAAAAAACTTTTCAATTGAGGCCCTATTCCTAATGAAAAACACAAAACTATGACAATCTATTTCTCCTTTTAAACGACGTAAAAAGACGTACATAAGTCAAAGTAGCATAAACTAAACCCACTTAAGTGAGCAAATAGGTATGTTATCACAACTACGAGAAATTAAAAATTAGAAAAAAGTACATCAATTATTCTTAAAATTGCTTAAATGAGCTTTGATTAAATATACGGTATTAAAAAGATTTAAATTGATTATTGATTATAAAAAGTGGTTAAATCGAGTTTGATATGATCCAGAAACGTATGAACAGAAGGATGGCTTCCTTAAAATAGGGCAATGACAACAAGATTCCATCACTCTACGGCATTTTTTGTTCTTATCAGGCCAGATGCAGCTTCTTTTGAGCAATTCCATGAAGTTAATACGAAAAATGGCTTTCGGTTGTTATGATCTATTGCCTACCCTTTGATGTAGCTTTTTAGGAAATAAGAGGCAACCTCCTCCAGACCTAAATAGTCTCATCTAGCTCAAACCGATCAGCAACTTTCAAGCTCTTGGATTACTTGATCAAAATTTAGGACAAGTATAATTGCGCCAAATTTTAGGAAAGGTTTTTAAAAAAATTATTTAATTTAGGCCCTATTCCTAATGAAGAACACGAAACCATGACATCTACTTCTCCTTTTAAACGACGTAAAAAGACGTACATAGGTCAAAGTAGCAAAAACTAAACCCACATAAGTGAACAAAAACAAGAAAACCAAATATGTTTGTTATCACAACAAACAATTTAAAAAATAGGAAGAAGTATATCAGTTATTGTTTAAAATTGCTGAAATGAAAAGAAAAAGGCTTTGATTTAAAAAAACTGTATTAAAAATGATTAAATAGATTATTGATTATCAAAATTGGTTGGATCGAGTTTGATATGGTCCAGAAACGTATGAATAGAAGGATGACTTCCTTGAAATAGGGCAGGGACAACAAGATTCCATCCCTCTAAGACATTTCTTGTTCTTACCAGGCCAGCTGCAGCTTCTTTTGAGCAATTCCATGAAGTTATTACGAATAATGGCTTTCGGTTGTTATGACCTATTGCTTACCCTTTGATGTAGCTTTTTGGTACTTATGACCTTTTGCCTACCCTTTGATGTAACTATTAGTGAAAACCTCATCCAGATCTTCACTAATAGTCTCATCTAGCTCGAACTGATCAGCAACTTTCACAAGCTCTTCGATTACTTGATCAATTGCAACGGTAACCATGTCATTTGGTACCGAATTTATTGCAGGAATGAGTCGTAGGGCCTCAATTTAATTGAGCTCATGGTTCCTTTAATAAAAATCGTTTCAAATCGACTTCGATTAAAGGCTTGAGTTAGATGAAATTAGCATCCTTTAATATGTGCCCCGGGTTAAAGAGAAGAGAACGCGTTGAGAGCAGCACGCTGAAAGCCGAGGAGATTACGGTTGGGCTTGGCATTTTGCTGTGAAAATCGTTGAGAAACTTATTTTAGCTATGCTCTCGTTTATTTGAAAGCAAAACATAGATGCACGGGGGTAAAATCCCGCCAATTGTATAAGCTTTGTAAATAATTGATAAAATTTCCATAGGCATGTTTTATAGGTGCAATTTTACAAAACCATGATTTTCTGTTTAACTTTTGAGCATTCAAGTTGTCGCGATCACCGAAAAAATTACTCCTTCGGCATCCTCGATACCGATGTCGATAAGGCAGAAGCTCTCATCTTTATACTGTTTTTTAACAAATTAGAGCCCTGTTTATTGCAGATCGAGAGGTTAAAGCTAAATCCACTGCTTTTTCGTCCTCCATGGATTGCAGGAAGATTGCAATTATACTACTGTTAACCGGCACTTGGTGGATTTTGGTACCTTGTTTCATCTTCTGAACAAGAATTCTTGCGTCCGATCGACCAGGGAAATTGCGCTGATTTCCCCAGAAATCCCCAGAAACTGCGCTCACTTCGTTTTTGTTTGAAATTTTGACACAGGCGAAGTTGAATTTCACATACACGAGCAAAAACATGATTGTTAACGCTTCAGGGGAAAAGCGAACGAGTAAAACTTTGAGTCTACAAAAATTTTTAAGTGACGCAAGCCAATTATGGGTCTTTATATTTGCTAAGTGACGCAAGCCACTTAAGACGCATTAGCAGTAGCAGCCAATTTGAAAAGGAAGAAAATTAAAAATTATCATGACTCAATTTATAGAGCGGACGCATTTTAAATAGTATACGAAAAAAATCATTAAAAGCATCTGACCCTGCCCATGTTCGAACCCTCTTATTTTGTTGCGAGTTTCCTTCCCTACCTCTACGCTACAGATCCATGATATTTTAAAGCTAAATGGCTACTGGTTATATAGTCTGTGTTAATATCCTTAGCATTGGCTGTACTTAATAGCTGGTTATTGATCAAGATGAACACTTTCAAAATTAACACATTTTGTCGCAATAATATTTGCGTCGGAACTATATTTGCGACTTAGGTTGGAAAGAAGAGTTCATTCTATTACACAAGCGTTGCTTGTGTAAATAATAAAACACACCTAATGAAACAATTTTGCTTTCATTCTATCCTTAATTGTGAAAATTGCGGATTAAACCTAGTTAATTGTGATAAATTACAATCCTTAAGCAAAGCGCTAATTTGCATCTTCACAAAAATTAGCATTAATTTGTGAGCCAATTGAGTTTTAACAGCTGGCCTCATATAAATTAACACCTACAGATTGAAAATTAGTGCATCAAATGAAAGAAACTAATTGCAACACAATTGAGCTTAAGATAAATTAGCATAGGGCAAGTTAGAAAAAAGGGAAAAATGGCATAGGCCAAGTTGGAACATAGGTTAAAATGGTATGAGGCAATTTGGTAGAGGATAAGATGGAATTGGGAAATATGTCCGGAAAAAAGAATTCCGCCGGCAAACGCAGGAAAAAAACGACGAGAAAAAGCTTTAAAAAAGATGAAAAATAGGCAACAAAATAAAAAGAAATGAGTTTTGAAAAATGAATGATAGGATTCGGCCTTCAGTCCTCGGACACCCAAGTACTACAGTCGACTGCCGTACAGAATTGTGACACTGGAGCTTACAGAACCCAAACAGTAGTCACTAATAAATTGGAGAAGACATGCTAATTGACTGCCACTACTGTGAAACAGAAAGACTATCAATATGAGCACTTTGATTTGGGTTGAAAAAAGTAGAGTTTGCAATATGACACTACACTTATAATCTTGACTAACAATATCGTTGTATGACATTACACTGTGTAATGACAATCTTGAAACATCGAGCGAGACAAACTCAACCTTTCACGAGGGCTTGCCAATCTTCGCACTTGCTAATAAGCCAGTTCTAAAGATTTCCTAGGTTTCAGGAAATAAGTTTCAGATTTCCTTTTTGTTAGATACTTTCAACGAATCAGACTCAAGCTTGTGATCCAACTTTCTGTATATCAAAAAGATGAAATCTGAGCCTTATAACAAGAAGACCCGATATTAGGTAACATGGTTAATAAGGACGCGAAGTAAAGGGACACAAATGAGAAGTGCAAAAGGTATCTCTTACCACGTGTGTGCCTTGGGCAGGTGCTGCGCAGTGGTTGTTTGGGTGTCACTGCGTTGAATCGTGAACATCTGTGGCCCATCACTGCCCTGTAGCTCAGAGAAGCCGTGCAGAGGCAGGTGGGAAGTGCCAGTGACAAACTTCAGCAGTCGACACCTCTCTTCATCTGAGTAGTCCAGCACCACTCGCCAGAACCACTGGATCACCTCGTGCTCTTCGCTATAGCCTCCTGCAATATTGGCATCTCATTTGTATCAATTTATCTACTTACTTTTGGCCTACCATGGGCAACCATGCTCCACACTCAAATTTATGATGTATTGAACCCGAAACCCAAGAAAAAATTTAAAGCTGGTCGGCCGAAGGTCGTAAAATAGTAACAATTCTCATTGGTTGAAATCCCCGAGTTTGGAGCTTCCGTGCTCAATCCGCGCCTAGAAACGATATGGGAGGCGAAGCCTCGGGACTTGAAGTGATTCAGCCAATTGAAATAAAACGTGCATTTATTTTCAGCAAATTGACACGTTTAATCATGGCGGCAATCTGACATTTTGGGACGTTGACATCTCATCATTTTTATTGCGTTTCGCTAAAGTTCTGGGTTTGCTGACCAATGAGAACGCAATGAAAAGTAGGCGAATAAAAAAATTACAGAGCAATCTAGTCGAAGAAAAGCTTTGAAAACAGATTGCTCAGAATATTAGGACACACCAAATGCAAATAATAGCTTCACCAAGAAAATTTTGCAGGCTAAAATAATATGAACAATTCCACATTTCAAACAAGGATAGCCGGTTACTGTGCAAGTAGCACAGAATGTTCCGACCATAGTCATTTAAAAAAACTGAAGGAAAAAATATAAATTAGGCGAACGCGACAGTCATAGTCGAAGACGCCAATTGGAAAACAATTTTTGTAGATAAATGGCTAGAAATCTAAAAAAAAACTTCAAAACAATTTCAATATTTTTTCTAATTTTTTTTGCAGAAATCCCAAAATGGCGCGAAGAACTTCAAAAACTAACTTTACGAGAATGAAACTATGTTTTTACAGCTTAATTTAAGCTTAAATAAGCTATTGTAAGCCTGCATGCTCACCTTACTAGCTCAAATTTAGACCAAAAATCAAAAATTTCCAAAAGGTTTTTCTCGACACTGAGATAATTTCCTCAAAGTTTTTAGAACGTCGTTCGAATCAAGACTGAAAGGGCTTTAATCTGATATATCACTCGACTCATTCCGTTGAATATTTGTAGTAGTTGATTTTGCGTGGAAAAAGAAGCCAAAAAAAGAAGAAAAAAGAGCTATAACACACACGTAACAGAGTTCATCCACATTTTTCAAATGGTCGAAACAATGAACTCTAACACATCCGATTTACACTAATATTTGACTAATATTTACACTATTATTTACACTAATGTTTAACACGTCCGATTTACAGTACTATTTTGCACTAATATTTGACGTTTTTTTGTGCCTGACTAATACTAGTTACCTAAATTTACCAAAGGCGCAAATTATAGAAAAAAAATACAAAAGTGGCAGGGGCGATTATTTGATCAAAAACTTCCAAAAAAACTCAAAGGTCATTTTCTTCCAAATAGTTTCCTGCGTTGCAGACAAACTGGTCAAATATTGTCATTCGACAAAAAACCTTATCCAACAGACAATTGGAAAAAAGTCAATGAACACACGGAAACAAAATAAAAACTGATGTTTTTTTGAAGAAAAAAACTTATAACTTAGAAACTGAAAAAACAAACACACACCCTAAAGCTCTTTGAACTTCATGAACAATTATGACTTTATGAATTTCATGAACAATCATGAACAATTATGACTTGCGGGCGTGTGTCTGTCCTTTCAATTTCTAAGTTTTAATGTTTGCTTTAAGAAAACATGTCAGTTTTTATTCTGTTTCTGTTTTGATAATTTAAATCAATTTGAGAAAACTGGATCAATAGGTAAAGTTTATATACGCTGAAAAATTTCAGAAGTAATTTTTCATTTTAAAAATTGGAAGTCGATCAGGTTTTGTTGAGACCTTTTCACCTTTGCTGTTTGATAGCTAAATTGCCTTCCTTTTAACAAAGGAAATGATCTGAACTTGAAGGGTCCAGACGAGCCACCAGTGGTTGGCCCGACGGCTGTACGAAAAGCCGCAAATAGCACTTATTACACCCTCTCCAACAGGGGACAGCCAAAAGCATGCTTGGACTGGGTTTTCGGTTACGAAGCTTCACAAGTCGGCCGGGTTGCTCCGTCTATTAATCCTAATACTTCTCCTTCGCTCCTCCTTCTCCTGAGTGGTTGCCAAGCGAAAACAATTTTTGAAGACGATCTGTCTAAATCAAGGATTTTCCGTACAGGTGACCCACAAGGTTCAATCCTATCACAACTATTATTCAACTTTTATCATCATGATGCACTATTATCTACCCTGAAGTTAAACTGCAATCATATGGAGACGATTTTCCTCCCTTTGTCAAAAAACTATCAAAAGGCCTCATCAACACTAACAAACTACATAACTAAGTTACATCAATTTTTAACGTCTATATCTCTGATTTTTTTCTCATCAAAAAGCTCCGCGAGCCTTTTCTCTTCGTTCAACAAGTAATTCAATACCGGAGCCCTAGAAAAAAAAAGGAAAATACACCCTTATTCTTGAAGAAGCACCTCAATTACTCGGTGTCGTCTTTAACCAATCCCTTAATTCCGCAGACCCTATCAGCAATGTCACCAAAAGCCTCGCGCAGGATAGTGACTTTGAAGGCCTTATCACCATCAAACTAGACTGCCATCTGATAGAAATTCATCAGCATTCTTATCAGTTTTACTTAATCTTGCATGGCAAACAATTTTTAAACTCGTCTCAGGTCACCTACCAAATTTAATGAATGTTCCCACTACCGAGGATAACCCTTTATATATTTCAATAAAACAATTTTTTTTAAATTGAAGAAAAGTTAAAAAATCGAAGATACTCTGGCAAATAAACCTATGCTACTAGATGTTAATTCAGCCTAATGGATTTTTCATGATACGGTCTTCTCTGCAGCCTGTGACTATATTCATACAGGCCGTCATCATTTATTTGTTCCTGTCGAAAGAGATATTACTGGTTACCTACAATGCTTTGGTCAGATCAATTTTAGATTACGCATGCATAAGCATGGTCCCATGGCGCCAGTTTCACGTCTTTAAACAAACTACAAACAGTTAAAAACGCCCCTCTTTGCACTAATACGGGTGGTACAAAAACGAGTGCTACATAACACTTACATTCTGAACGTTAAACTTTAAATGTTGCCCATCATCATGAACTACTTTCCGCTCAAATTACTCTCAAAAATTATATCCCCTCAAACCCCTTACTTTGTCATTAACATCACCCAGACCACTTCGAAACATTCACCCGTCAACACTTGATCTATATAGTCCCGCAAAAAAACATAGCAACCTTTTACCACTATATATTACTTTAACAAACTAAGTACCCTCGCCATTTTAAAACTACAAATCGATTTTAGAACAACTGCAGAGTAAAAGTATCGAGCAGGCAATTGCAGATGCATATCACCCAAAATTTCTACCTCTCAAACCCCTGACGTCTCCCCTTTGACGGATATCTCCCTCGCGCCACCAGAAAAACCCTTTCCGAACTAAGGTCCGGTTACAGCTCCTTCTTGAACTCCTACCTAAATAGAGTTTACCCAAACTTCCCTCCAAACTGCCCCTACTGTACTTCCCAACATACCAATTAACACCTTTCAACTATTCCAAGAACACCACAACCTTGTCTCCCATAGACTTGTGGCTTCGGCTGACTGAAGTTGCGAAGTTTCTACAACTCGGTTTGAGCATGCCGAACGCGCCCCCTCGGGGTTAGCAACAACAACAACATCAGAACTTCAAAAGCAATCAAAAGTCAAACCGCGAAAAAGTAATTTGAGCCTGAACAAAATTTAGGACTTTTCATGAAAAAAAATCACTGCCTAAACAAGAATCTGAACTACGTTCGTCGACTCTTAAAACAACCCAAATAAGTCGAACTTCACTTGAACAGTGTTTTAGTAACATTCACTGTTCTAAAACAAGAAGACCCACTTTTGTAGAGAGTGTGGTCTTTCCAGTCTTTGACATTGACTTGTGGCAGTCCAGCCATGAGCAACTCCAGTTCTGTCTCATCGAACAATTTGAGTAGAGAGGGATCGACGACCAGTGAGAAGCCACTGAGAAATGCCTCCATTTGAGATTGCACCTGCTCCACTAGTTTGTACTGCAGCACTAGTCTAAAACGAAGGCAACCCGTTTCAACATCACAAATGCCGATAAAGAAACCCAATGATGCTGGGGTTTTTCTACTTACTAGGACCAAACTAATGTATGACTTGTGTATCAACATTTGTATTCGAAATTCTGCCTAAATTTCGACAATTTGTTCGATTTAAACCAATCCTTCTTTCTCTCTTTTCTCGTTTATTTTGCAAATTTGAGCTGAATGCGTTAAAACACGAACTACCGTAAACTCATGATCAGCTCAACTGAGGATTCGTTTTCAAATTCCAACTCAACTTTGGGATAAAACTCTTTCGCACTTTTAAAGAGCTTAGAAAAGATCGTTTTGGTCAAACTTGATATTCCGGCCTCCCTATCCTCGAGAAAATTCTAGATCTGCCCCTGGTTTTAAGGACTCAAATAACAACCTAAAAAATATCAATCGCACTAAATGTGAATTTCAGGGAAATCTAAGAGGGTAGAAATTATCTTGCAGAAATCGAAAATAAAAACTTTACACTCACTGAACGAATTGTTCTCTGTTATGGATAGTGACTGGTATTTCATTTCCATTGGGCAGCAGAGACACTGTTCGAGCAGGTGCCCGTCCACCTTCTAGTTGGTGTTCGGAAAGGGTGAAGTCGGCCTCTATCTCCGCCAACTCTTCCTCCCCACACTCCAGCAACATTTTCATCGACTGGTAGTAGCGAATGTCCTACAAGTACAACAAAACAGATACAAAACTGAGTATTTTTTTATGTGTAAAGCCTATAATAATGTTACCACAATTCAACTAAAAAAAGAACGCGATATTCTAACAATAAATTGTTATTCGTTTGAATTCGATTAATTAAGTTCGTATTTCGATTTCAGTACTCATATTTTAAGATTCGTAAATCCCGGGTATAGTTGGTCGAATTATGTGTCGATTGACAGTGTAGACCGCATGTCCAATTATCAAAGTCGACAAACGATTTCGGTTGAGCAAGACCGATACACGAGTCGACCAGGGTCGATACATAATTCGAACTTAGCCAACAACAGTTGGAAAAGAGTCAAGGAACGCAAAAAAACTGACTGTTGATTAGAAAAACTTCAAATTTCGAATTTTAAAGGAAAAAATATCGCTTTGAAGCTTTTTGAATTTAAAGAACAATTTTTGATTGGCGCTTTTTTGATAAAAAGAACTCAATTTGAGAAAACTGGAGTGTTAGGTGAAGTTGTTATTCCGCATGGAAATTTAAAAATTACATTCCTCTTTCGAAACTAGAAATCGAACACGTTTTTTCGCGCCATTTCCTCTTTCGTAATTGGACGGTGAATTTTGCCTACTTTTCAGCAAATTAACTTCAATTGAACTCAAGAAGAGTATGTTTTTGCTCTTTCACGCATGTTGTTTCACGACAAGGCATGAATGAAAAATGAAATATTAGAACGCATGAATGAAAAAAGAAATCATTTGCATAGTTTCGCGCACTTTTCCGGGCTTTTTCGCAATTTTCCGGGCTCTTTCACAATTTTCCGGCATCTTTCCCTCAGAAAGAGCAAAAACATACTCTTCAACAGTTAGAACATAGTTAGAGATGGCCTCGGGCATCTTTCAACTATGTTCAAACTACTACAAAGTGCACATAAACCAAAGGGCATTAATAATGCATGAATATGTATGAATGCACTTCATATAGTTAGTAGAGCCATTCAAGACTTTTCTTGAGAAAAATATCATCATGATCTATATTAGAGTCTGCACTACGTTACTACACTTTTAAACAGTTTCGAAACATGAGTATCTAAAGTTTTTTAAATTTGCCCTGGATATGCGCACTGTTATTTCATCCATTTTGCCGCAACCGCTGCCACCTTGAAGAGTCGGATGATATTGAGAAACCCCCGAACGGGACCGAAAGAGGATTTAACCTACAACCATCATGTCACAAGCCGCGCGCCTTATTGACTCCAACGCGGTCGTTTTGAATATGAACGTCGACCAGGCTCGAAATGAGTCAAGATTTTTTTACATGGGTCAACCACAACGAAGCACGAGTCGAATAAGATCAAAACGGCAAGAAAACTGAATTGGTTAATTGGCAGTACAAAGCCTAACCGGAAATAGACACACAAATTCAATCCTTAAATTATTTTTTTAAAAGTTTTTTTAATAAAATCAATCAAGTTGCACCTTGAAATTGTGAAGATAGCCATCAATCGGTTGGAAAAGTTTTAATGAAATCAGAGAACTTGAAAAGCGAATTTTTCTCGAACTTGACTTCTTTATAACAAAAAATTGCCAACAATTGGTCGGAAATGTGTATACAAAGTCAATGAAGTCGGGAAAATGTTACCTTTTTTTCGAACTTTTAATTTTTCTCAAAACAAAACACAGCCAACGGACTGTTGGAAGTGTCAAGGAACTTTTGACTTCAAAAAATATTTTCAATTTTCAAAATTCGAGAAAAAAAATTTGCTAATAGTCATTTTTCTATGCCATTGGGAAATCCTAAACATAGCCAACTGACAATTGGAAAAGAGTAATGAACGCAATGAAACTGAAACAAAAACTGCGTTGTTTTTTTCCCAAAAAATTTCAACTTCTGAATTTCCAAGAAAAAAAAATAAATGGCTTTAAAGCTCTTTGAATTTGTAGAACAATTTATGATGGACACTTTTTTGTTTAAAAAAAAACCCAATTTGAAAAAACTGGATCAATAGGCAAAACTTTTATTTCAGTGGGATATCTGATAATTAATTTCCATTTTCGAAACTAAAAGTCGATCACGTTTTTCGTGACCTCAACATTTTTGCTGTTCGATAGTGGATTTTGCCTTCCTTTTAACAATGAAAATGCACTGAACTTAAAAATAAATCACAAATCAAACCGCGAAAAATCAAAATTGAGCCTGAACAAATATCAGGACTTTTTCGTGAAAAAAAAACAACAAAAAAATCAGCAAGACCTATATAAGATACCTCACTACCTTCATTACTCTTAATTATATTCCCGTCTCGAAACTAATATTAATTTACGTGTTTAGCTCCATTCGCTTTTTGGTAACTGGAGAGCTTAATTTGTTTTTCTTGTAGAAAATGAAACTGATTGAACTTAGCAAGAAATGAAAAATCGAACCGCGATTATTCTAAGCTTAAGAGTTCTCCGGAACAAAAATACACATGACCCAAACAAGTTTTTACGCTCGTATCTACTACCCCCACCTTTCAAACTGTCTGTTGTTATGCGTTATACGGCTAAAAGCTCAATGTTACCATGTAAAATATAAATAACAACTCTGTTCAAAACAGTTAGTTTGTTCACTATGCCAAATTTCATTGCATTAGGATGTTAAAAAGCTTTTCAAAATTGAAATTCAAATATGGGGAGTGGAAAAGAGCCGCGTTTTCGCTTCGTTTAATGGCACGTAAAAATGTACCTAAACAAGAAACTCAGCCAAACTCCACCCCACACACACACACACACATACATAGATTAAAATTCAGTTTGGTGAGGCAATAAACCTTGTCCCAAAGAAAATCTGATAAGCATATATTTCCGTGTCGCAGACTTCTTCCCACATACAAAATTAAGCGATCCAACTCTATTGCAGATTTCTTTCTATTTCGAAAACTCTCGGCCAGTGACATCAAAAATGGGTGAGCTTTACGCGCATCTGCACCAAAAATCTTGAACACTGAAGCGAAATTGCAGCATCACAAACACAAGCAAAAAACAGCACTAAATAGGTAAAAAATTATAAAAGGGAAAGAAAAGAAAACTTATCAGAAATCTGCTACGTACTGTAATCACACACCCAAAATGGATGTTTTAAGTCACTTGTCCTATCATCTGCGCCTTTAATCACTTGTCATCAATAAAGCAGTCTGTCAAGGCTGGTTCGAAAATAATTGTATGTATTTGCCGCGTTTATCTATCTACGGATGTCAAATATTCTTTACGAAAAACTGAAATATCAAACAGAGATGAAGCTGAGCTTCGCACCACTTGCGATACAAAATTAAAATCAAATAAAGAGAAAAATCAAATCTTGGAAAAAACCTACAAAAAAGCGTTTTTATCAGAAAAACTTATAAAAATTGCTTTAAAAAGCCCAAAAAATCCGGAACAAATCCTGTAGGAAAGCTGATGAACCTTGAAAAAAGTTTGCGCTACGGGATCTAAGCCGACAAAAAAACAGAGGATAACCCTAAAAAGCAAAAAAAAATCTGGTTTGCAAAGAAAAGGTCATGGCCGGTTGCGAACCAAAACCTTTTGCCCTAATAAGAAGTGTGTTATCTCTACGCCAGATGGTTGATAAAATTTGTTAAAATACCTTTGCCGAAAAAGCAGTAAAGTCTGCCCAAAAAACTTTGAAAATTTCAAAAAAAATGTAAAATTTTAGACATTACGCAGAGGCGAAGATGCACTTCGCATACACAAGCAAAAAATATGACCAAAATCGCTATTGGAAAAACCGAATGAGCGAAACTTTGAGTCTAAAAATTTTCCTGATTGACGCACTCCAATTATGAGTCTATATAATTGCTGAGTGACGCAAGCCAATTATGACGCATTTAGCAGTACCAGTCAATTTGAAAGAAAATAGAAACTTATTAACTTGCCTGAATTTATAGAGCGGAAAATTTTAATTAATATACGAAACAGTTCATTAAGAACATCCGACCCAGCCCAGGTTCGAAACCTCTGATTTTGTTGCGGGTCTCCTTCCCTACCTCTAAGCTACAGATCCATGATACTTTGAAGCTAAAGTGCTATTTGTAATAAAATAGTCTTTGATCACATCCTCAGCATTGGCTGTACTTAATAGCTGCTTATTGATCAAAATGAACATTTGCAAAATGAACACATTTTGTCGCAACAGTATTTGCGACTTAGGTTGGAAAAAAAGATATTTCATATTATAACACAAGCATTGCTTGTGTAAAACAGCACGCTTTACCATCACCTTGAATGGATTTAAAATAAAAAATTGCTTAAAAAATTATAACACTCAGTTGCTTTGAGGTAAATGCACACACTTTAGAACAAAAAAAATCAAAAACCAAGCATTCGAAAAAAAAGAAAAAATGTTGAAAAATTCAAACAAAAATCGCTTAAAAATGTTATATTTGCAAACTGAAAGTTTTGCCGTGGATAGAAGCGAAAACTTCATAAAATAAGGTTAAATTTTTCAAAATTGAATTTACTAAAACAATTGAATTGAAAAGAAGGGTACTAAAAAAACACACAGCAAATAAGCCCAAAAAATATTGGGACAAATTTAATTAAGCCTACAAAAAAATCAACATGTCTGAAATTGTTTTTCAGATGTCAACCCAGTAACTCGTTACATCTAAGCGCAGTAATCTAGACCAAAATTAGAGCTGTTGAAATTTCAAATCGACTGGAACTTAGATTTTCCAAAGTTGGAGATCCTGTGAACAAAATTATTTACGGAAAAAATTCTAGTATCCGATAGCAAAACTCTTGTTTATGGAAAAGATAAAAAAGCTTGTAACTAACCACACTTTCCAGATCTTCTAATACAACTTCTTTGCCCAACAGCGTCTTGTAGAATGATTTCACGAAGTAGCCTGAAAAATGAATCGTGTAAAACTCGAATTAAATATTGTTATCACATAAAAATTTCGGATATGTTTTTCCATGCAAAATTAGGTATCATAAAGACACTTCGTTTGTAACCTAGTGGTAGTAAATCCTACAAAAATCCCTCAGATGCGATTTGAGCTGGGAAAAATTCGAAACTATCTCTGTTTCCAAAACCAACGGTTTGAAATTTTTTAATTGAGACTATATATCGAGTATGACCAGATGCAAATCATTTATTTTCCGCAAAAAAAACTGTAATAATTTTTCAAGGCATGTTCTTACACAGAAGCAAAGCTGCGCTTCGCAAACACTTGCAAGAATACGACAAAAAAGGAGCTTCATAAAGTGAAAAAGAAAAACTAAAAATAAGGCTCGAATAAGTATAACTTTTCAACGTATCGGATTCGAACCTGCGACCTCGATATTTGGCGTTTCAAGCCCTACCGCGAACTCTTAGCAACCCACCAACACTAGTCACAAATAAATCAGCCACATATGCTAATAAAGTGTCAATGATATGCAGCAAAAGTTGCAACAAATACAAATAGACACAATTTGGCATGTAATAATTTGGGAGTATAACAAACTGAATGCATCCACGCATGTAATAAATTTAAAATCAAAAGCCAAATTATGTATAATTCAGCATTCCAAAAACATTGCAAGATATAATGATTCAGAAAATTTCTGAAATTTAGTTTTTATTATTGTACTGATATTTGAAACAAAGAGCTTTTTTCGGATCATTTGAACAAAGAGATCTGAACCAACTGTGTTATCTTATTTAATCAAATGTCAAAGCACATGCTAACATGAAGCTATAAAGGTGCCCCAAAAGTGGCACCAATATTTGCATAGTCGAAAACAGCATAGTCGTACAATAACACTGCCTCACTAAAGCTTGCAAGTGTAAAAGGGTAATCTTAGAAAAAACTAGGCATCAGAAAAAAATGGACAAAAAATTTGAAATATTGAAAAAATATATATTGGGGTATTTTGAATGAAATTTTTCGTTCCGACCCCGTCATAAAGTGACTAGAAGAATTTTTGGCCCAAGGTGGCTTTTTTCCTCATGATTTGAGATAACTCAAAACTCAAAGAAAGCTCGTACTTAGGGCCAGCGGCGAATCTAGGATTTTCTCGAGGGGAGGATTTTCGTCTTTTTGAATTTAATTACCTTTTTTAAAACGATTAAAATGATTTTCGAAGCTCTTTAAAAGCAACAAAAACGCCGTTTTGGCGCAACTTTGGAAAATTTCGACTAAAAATATGCACTTTTTTGGCACGCGCTTCCCCTCAAAACCATGATAAATTGGCGCAAAGGTGCTTCAAAAAAATTTAGGGTCTTTCAACCGAAGATGGATGTCGTAAAATATTACCAAAGATGGACATCTTGAGGGGCGACAGGGTGGAATTCCTGAGGGGAATAGCGGACGGCTGTCCCCTCCCCAACTCAGCCCCAGGGAGGGTGCTAAATTATCAAAATACAAAATCAAAAGCCCGATTAGTCGTGATTCGGATTTTAATAAACTCCAAAAAGTTTGTCCGAGCTTTTTCGTTTTCAGATAAATTTTACATGGTAGAGAGTGAATTTTCGAATTAATTCTATCACATTTTTGAGGTTATTAGAGGTATATCACCTGATTTTTGCAAATTATTATCTAATTGAATCCACTTGAATTGGAAAAATATCTTTTAAAAAAAATTTTAGAAGAAAAAGTAATTTTTTTAAATCCTTGTCAGCATTATTTTGATGAAACGGGTATCAATTTTAAGAACGGTCGAAAATTACCAGAGAGGGTAAATTTCCTTTGAAAAAAACCCGTTTTTCATTGAGGGGCTCAAAATTATCAGGTGGTCCGCAACTTCGGAGTAATTCTGATTAATATGATGCACACTTTTTTTATTTAGAGCTCGTAAACGCCCCCCCCCCCATTCTAGGTGGAGGGGTGTTTAAGAAGAAGTAGATTTGTGTTGTTTGGGGTCCCGATAAAAAAGCAAGGCAGGGTGGAAGCCAGCAATTGCGTTCAACGTGACGGCCTAACTGTGTACTCACCGTCGATTAGCTTTCCGTGATATATGGCCATGGCGCATACGGTGCCCACGAATGAGAAGTACTTGAGATGGTCTCTGCCACAACACAGTGCACTGAGGGGGTTTATCTGGAGGGAGTAGGAGGAGTCGGCAGCAGAATACTCGAATAAGCCGTAGTAGGGATCCAACATCTGACAAGACACGTCTTGGAACCACTCTCTACAAAACCACAACACCCCAACTAATCTTAGCTTCAGTAAAGAATATTTAAAAATGGACTACTGAAAATTGAAAATTGAAAGACAAGCTTCTCAAAATCTTAGCAAAACCAAGATATTTTAAGATAGTTTAAGTTAAGAAATCTATATTTTTGGCAACATCGTTCATATTTCTCTGATTGACGCACGCCCAGTTTTGCCTGGTATACTGCAAACTAGAAGCAAGACAACCGATATGAGCTTTGCAGATTGTTACTTAGCCTAAAAAAAAGCTGTTGAATACTTTTTTTCCAATAAAACATTTGACCTTTGGTTATCTCAGATACGCACGGTTAATATGTTGAGAAAGAAAAAACCAAATCTAGGAAAACGAGTAAGGCAAGTTCACATTTATGTCACAGAACGAGGAATATTAAAGCCTGATACTTCCATATGAAATAACTATGTAACTATGACATTACAAAACATAGTCAACAGAAAGTTGGAAAGGTGTCAATGAACTCAGGCAAACAGGAAAAAATGATTGACTCATTTTGAAATTTTTCGCAAATCGAAAAAATAAGTACATCAAGTTCAAGTTCATTGAATTTCAAGAACATTTTATAATGGCCCATTTGTTCATGAAAATAAACAAAATAGAACTCTTAATGAAATGACTAGAAAAGAATGCTAAAAAATAGGGAACACGGTTCGAAAATCTGGTTAAGCTAATATTACAAGGTGCAATGACTACCTAAGATAAGAAAACTGAAAAAACTCAGTGAAACGTTTTATTTCTTATCTCAAAACTGGGTCCAACTTTCAACAATTTTTTTACTCCTGAGAACCGACCGCAATTCGTGAACTTCTATTTCTGTTTTCTGACCTTGACATGCCTCCATAGTCCAATCCCTGTTCGCCCGCGTACTCCACCCACAGTTTGCATCTCAACCTGGAGGGGTCATCCTTCACTATGCGACAGATGGAGTCAAAGGACGTTTCCAACAGGTTAGCCCTCGTCACTCGAATCACACAATGGGCACTGCTGCTCGGCTGAAATATGTTTCTCAAATCAAGGATGGATTCATCTTGAGGACATAAAATTCTCACGCCGCACAAATTCTGTCAGCAAAGCTGTTTACGGGAAAAAAATAGTAAAAGATAACATTGTCCTTGCCCAAGGGTTAAATTATCAGTGTGGATTTTTCGACAATAATCTCTTTTGGGTGTAACTTCGAGTCAGAACTTGGTTGAAACATTTCCAAGCAATTTGTGGCGTTTTTCTTGTCTGAGAAAAGGCAAATCGAGAAAAATGCGTTTAATTTTTTCAGTTTATTTTAGTTTTCGTCTGGATAAGCAAAACCATTACTGCACTCTCTCTCTGATCAAAAAAAGCCAATAGTCGATGTTTAACATGCCCACCGCTTTCCTGAGTTTGGCTTTGAATGCCTTGTACTTGGACTTGTAGTTGGGGTTGAATTGCACCGCAGGTCCCTCCATCAGCAGTCGAGGGTCCTGCCAGCTGGTGGTCTGGGTGTCTAAACAAAATATAGACGATTCTTCAAATGGATATCTTCTAGCTATTCACCCCTCTCCGTATTGCAAAAAAAGATAATCTTCGATTTAATTCTTTTATACGGCGTATATTCGTACACAGGCGTATATTCGTACACAGGCGATACAACAAAAACAAAAAAAACCTACGTCGAAAAAAATTTGAATTTTGAAAAAAAAGGCGAACCAAAGTTTCAGCATGTCTCGATAAAAAACAGCCCACTGGAACACTGGAAATACGAGTTTGATAGCGAATGAATTTGCTATACTGATACTGTACGAAAAATGTGATTTCAAAAATTGGACTTGCGCAAAATCTTAGTTGTTTCTCTACTAAAACATGACACTTTTCTTACAGAAATTTAAGGAGTCGCCAATTCTGCAGGAACAATTATCGCAACCGGTTCTTTGAATTGAACTGTTCTTCTCAGATTTGATAGAGTAATTTTTAAACGCACAGAAGTTCTAAAAAACGGTCAAAAGATTTCCAAAACCCATTAATATCTTCTGCATAAGTATGTTGTGGCCGTTTACCTAGAGAAGATTCCCAAAGCCGGGTTTCTCCATTGAACACAACCTGAGAAAGCGCACGGTAGTTTTTGCGTAAAGTCAAAAAGTTTCCAAAAACGGTCAAGGTTTCGAAACTGTGTCTTGTTTGAAGATCATAAGTTTTTTTCGTAAACAAACTAGGCATAGCCAATTACAGAGGTAGGCTTTCAACAACCTGTTGTTTCGATTAAACCTATGATATCGGATTTGGCAGGATAGTTAGCGAAAGTCCAAAAATGGTCAACAAAACAAAACTGACATCTCCGAGAATCATAGCATTTGCGTGAAACAAAAACAAGGCGTATACGCTTATGCAGAAGGGATTCACGCAACTTTTAGTTTCGATTGAACGAAAAATCTCAGATGTGGCAGAGTAGTTCTTGAGAAAAATCAAAACATTCAAATAAAACGGTCAAAACCATCAAATTTTTGATAATTGTCAGAAAACAGTTGGGCGTAGTCGCACAAACAAATGAGCTTCCCACAACACGTTCGTTCAATTAAACTCAAAATCTCAGATATGGCAAGGTAGTTTTCGAGAATAATCAAAAAGTTTATACAACGGTCAATAAAAATCAAGAGTTTTACTTTTCCGAGGGCGATTACTTTTTGTGTAAAATATTCTGGTACTGCAAGCAAAAATTATTTCAACAAACAACCGATTAACTCAGGTATTTGACAACAGTTATGTGACTAATCAGAGATGAAATTTGAACAGGTAAAACAGATACTTCTTGAAATTAAAAATCTTTCTAACGAAAAATCATTTGAAAGACTTGAAAATAATTTTAATCATCTTTTTTGCAAAAAAAAACTTGCTGCAAGAAAATGGCTGCAAGCAAAAATAATTTCAACAAACAACCGATTAACTCGGGTATTTGACAACAGTTTGGCGACTTATCGGAGATAAAATTTGAACAGGCAAAACAGATACTTCTTGAAATTAAAAATCTTTCTAACGAAAAATCATTTGACAGGCTTGAAATGTAAAAACCGTAAGCGAGCGAATCATACTTAAAAATGCTTTACTTGATCATCATAGCTATGGGTAACTCAATTTAACAAAACAACCGCAATTTCTTCTTTACTCAGATTTTTATTTTTTTTTCAATATGATATAAGAAAATCAAATTAAAGTTTGCTATCAGAGCTTATTATATACCGCAAAACTTATCTAGAGCATATTGTAGACTAAAAGCTTCAGAAATATGAGTGAGGTTCTTTGAACTATTTTATCTGTAATTAGTATTAATTCATTCGAATTAAATAAGTATGGTCAACAGGTCTGACCTAAAAAAAATTTTCAAATCAAACTACATGTAATTGTAAAGAAATGTACACCAAATTGTAAAAAAAAGGTAGGGCTAACCTCCTGCTCCAGTGCTAACTTTTGTTTGATGTTTTGGTGGAAGTCACTTTGATGACAATCGGTAATTGCGATCAGCACGACAAGATTTAACTTTGATAAAACAGTTTCTCGAACGTAAAGTCAAGAAAACATCTTTTGAAAGCAATGGAAATCTAATTACGTAGAACTCTATCTAAGTCATCCAGTAGAATTTTAGGATCAGGAGTACCAAATATATTTCTGAGAGCACCAAGAAACTGCAGCATAACGTTTTCCCAGAGCTGAGTCTTATTTTTTGTGTTGACTCAACTATTTCGTTAAAAATTTTTCTTTTTTTTTCTTCAAAAACCTAATTGCTTACTGCAAACAAGATTGGATTCTTATAGTTACTTTTTTTCGAGGATAGACAATTTTTTCGAAAATATTCCTACAGTTGAGCGGCAGAAATCGCAGTATTGATGATAATTATGTAATAAAAGTGGAAGAGAAAAATGCCAGATTGGATAGACACATTGATTATAAGGGACGGATGGGGGCAAAATTATTCAAAGATAGCTGATTTTGTCAACATCTGAATGTTTTAGGCTTGAGGCCATTTGTGAAAATCGCAAATTGCAAGAAAACATACATCGATTGCAAAATACTGGCGAATATGACAATTTGTTGCTTTGGATTTCAATCCACTTAACTCGATCCCAAAGAAATAAAGTCGTTGAACACATAGCAAAAAGCAGAAGACCCATTCATATTTAAAGCATTAGCACAACAGTCTGAAACAACTGTTATTTTCAGATTTTTGTAGTTTAATTTATCCGATAACACAAACACATGCCTCGATTGTCCAAGACGAAATTTAAGATTCTTATACTAGTAATTCTTGAGCTCATGTTTGTCGCAAACCTTCCACAAAGCTTCGCTTCACAACAACTAGCGAAAACACGACATAAAGCAGCTCTAAAAAAGCACTAAGTAAAAATAAGCTACGAATTAGCAAAAATAAGGCTATGTCTCGGATTCGATCTGCAACCTAGAAATTATGAGTCTCACGTGTGTGATCATAGCAAAAGTGCCACCAAATAAGTTGACAATTTAAATCAACACTTTTATTTGCGAGTTAGTACTGAAAAGTTAGAAAAAAGGTTCGTACTGATACACTACGCTTCGCAAACTCGCAAGTATAAATATTTTATTGAACTATTTCATTGTGACTTCCACCTTCAACATGTTCTGGCACTCCAAGAATTATTAAACTATCGCGGCGATTCCAACAGATTGAGCTCTAAATTTTTTTCGCTGTAGACAAAACTTCATCATTCATCGCTTTTTCTACAACTTCATGGACCGGATTTGGAAGTTCCTCTTGATTTGTGCGCAGCAATACTTGAAAAAAGCGACTTTAAAGAATCTTTACATTTTTGAGATGTCGTCCCCCAGACTTAACTCTTCGCCATCTTTACTGCATGTCTCGCGAACAATTTTTGACACTTCGCAACAGGCTTTATTATTGGTGTGTGATTCTGATATAGTACTCGTGGTATTTCTCCACGTTGGTATCAGTATGATCGAGAACACTGGAATGACTTTCCATTTTTCCGTCTCTCTTTAATAACTTTATCACAGGGTAGCAAATTGTTATAAAACATAGCCAACTGATAATTGGATGAGAGTCAATGAACTCAAAGAAACAAAAAAAACGGATTGAAAAAAATCCAGATTTCGAACTTCAGTGAAAAAAGTTATATATGATCTTTAAAGCCCTTTGAATTTCATAAAACATTTGTGGGTGGCGTTTTTTGATAAAAAAAACTCCACTATGAAAAAAACTGGAGTATTAGGTAAAGTTTTTATTCCGCTGGGAATCTAAATATTAATTGCACTTTCAAAATTATAAATAAATCACGTTTTCGACCCCCTGCTGACCCAAAGGGTCCCCCCCTTTGTACTATTTTGAGATATCCAATTTTGGCTGACTGACCTCAAAATTTTTCTAAAGGCGCCTTAGGCGCCAATTTATACTAAATTTGAGGGGGGAGCGCGCGCCGAAAACACGCGATTTTTTGGTCGAAATTTTCCAAAAAGTGCCTAAAAACGCCTCTTTTTTTGCCTTTTTTCAAAAACTTGCGGGCGGCTCAGAAAATTTGGTCAAATTAGTGTCTTTATAGTGGTTTGCGAGAGCTCAGAAAATCTATTTGGTCGACCTAAATTTTTTTTTGTAAATCCGCCCCCACCCCCCTCCTCGAGAAATTCCTAGATCCGCGCCTGCATATACCTAAGGCCTTTCATAAATGCCTTAATATGTATAAATGCAATTTCTGTAGTTATTAGAGTAGTTTAAAGATTTTTCCCGAAAAAGAAAACAAAAAAATCATCACAACCTATTTAAGAGCCTGCAAAACAAATGAGGATTATATTCGAAATGAAAAAAAAACAGAGCATCTTGTGAAATGAAAAAAACAGAGAATTTCGTTCCTGTGGACTACAGAGCATCTATTTTTAGTTTTGGGTAACGCGTTTCCAATAATACATTTGTACTTTGTTAATTCGTTTTAGAACCAACGAGGTACCAACCTCGAGTTAAAGTCAAAGCTTGAAAGCTAGACATGTAGCAAGAGGCAGTCAGAGCTCGTCTCGTCCACTGCATGGAAGCGGATTGAATAAAAGATTTATGTCAAAACCGTCACCTTAACACTATGGCTCTATTTAAGCTCAAATAAGCAATCGCTTTCTAACAAGAGCTTGTCTGGCAAACCACAGCAAGCCTGCAAGTTCGAACCCTCATTCATAATGTATTTCATTCATGTGGTGGTCTAAGCTACGCCCCAATGCAGAACTTATCCATTACCACTGTCTCCTATAAACTAACAAAACAGGCAACGAGCTCAAAAGCAACTCACTGTGGTCGACGTAGAACACTCTGCCATCTTTAGTAGCTCTCTCCTCCCAACCAGCAGGCAGCACTTTCACAGGATGACTCACTCCGGCATCAGAACCACTTGTGCTGTTAGAATCAGACACCGCAATATTTCCTGCTACAACTCCTCCTCTTGTGCCCATTAGTATGTCCAGCACCAGCTGCGCATTGGCCGCTGAAGAATTGCCCTCTCGTGACCTCACGCCTAATCTGGGGTCTACCTATCAAGATACATACAAACGTGAGCAACAGTAGTTGGTATTTGATGGGGTGGCAAATGGAACAAAACTCAAGACATATGGGTTGCAACAAAACTGAGCTGAAGCGTTGAGATTTTGCTATGATAAACTCAGCTATTATAAAATGAAATAATTTGAAAATGTCGAGACAAGTTAGATCTATCAAAATTTTCAAATCTTAGTCTTGAACTAAAAAACATCTTAGTCTTTCAAAAAACATGACAAACAAAACAATTGAAATCTACATTTGCATCGAAACAAAGCGGTCAAAAAAGGCGGCAATTTTTGGAGCAGTCACCCGTTGAGCCAAAAAAAAACTTTTTCAAAAAAAATTACCCCTCAAAAAACTCTAAAGCAAAAGAAACTTGCTTCACTCAACCTATGATGCAAAATAATGCAACAAAGTAGATTATGTAGTTTCAACCGGAAAAACGTCAAGCCGAATAAACAAAAGAACAAACGAAAAGACAAACATAGCTAACAGACAGTTGGAAAAGACTCAATGAACACAAAAAAAAAACAAAAAAATAATGACCTATATTTTTTGAAAATTTCAACTTTTAAATTATGACACAGAGGTGAAGCTGCGCTTCGCAAACACTGGCGAGAACACAAAAAAAGCAGCTCTATAGAGTGCAATTAGAACAAGTAGAAGTAAGCCTCGAATTAGTAAAAAAAAATCGGCTACATCTCGAATTCGATCTGCGACCTAGAGATTATGAGTCTCACGGACTAACAAAAAAGCCACGGACGCTTAATAAATCACAAACACTAGCCAAAAAAAGCAGAGAAGAGGTGCCATGAAATTTCAATGCCATTTTGTGATGATAGCAAAAAGGCCACCAGATGTGTGAACACTTCAAATGAAGACTTAAATTTGCAAATTAGGTCAGGAAAAAAGAAGGTTCGCACAAACACAGGAACGCCCGCAAGCTCGCTAGACTAAAAAAACAAGTAGATGTCCTTAAAGCTCTCGAATTTCTATAATAATTTAAGATTGACACTCTTTCGATTAAAATAACCCAATTTGAGAAAACTGGATAAATAGATAAATTTTTATATTCCGCAGGGAAATCTGAAAATTAAATTCCACTTTCGCAACTAGAAATCACGCTTTTCGTGACTGCTACTTTTAAGCTATTTAATAGTGGAATTTTCCTTCTTTTTAATAGAAGAAATCAACTAAACTTAAAAATAATTTAAAAGTCAAACCACGAAAAAGTAAAGGTGAACCTGAACAAATTTTCAGACTTTTCCTGAAAAAAAATCACCAGCAGCTATATAAGAGTCTGAACTGCGTTCATTGACTCTTGAAAATGAACATATACAAAACCGAAGTCGGTATTTTGAAATCCAATTTTAAAAAAAGAGCAGAAGGGGTTGTAGAATTGCAAACATGCTCAAAATATGTCTGTTGGCTGTCGAAAGTGCAGATTTGAGAAATGATTCAAAAATTTTATTGGACAAGTTGCTCACATGAACAAATCCAAGTTGTGAATTAAAATCACTTGCTAACCACAAGCCATATCATCGCATACGTGATGATTCCGAGCACAATAATGAAAGGAGTAAAACAATCAAAAAACTTTTGAAAGAAAACTTTTTTTATGAAAAATTTTTATTTTGATTTTTACAACACAGAGGCGAATCAGAGCTTTGCACGACTTGCGATACAACAATAACATGAAAAAAACAGGTCGCAGAAAGTTTTTAGATTTTGCTATACTGATACGAGAAAAAATGCTTAATTTCAAAAATTGGACTTTGCCCGAAACCTTAGTTGTTTCTCTACTAATATAAGTGAGTAGAGTGAAAATTGAGATTTTAGAAATTTATCAAAAACAGAACTTTTTTCTTACAAAAAAAAATTAGGGAGTAGCCGCTTCTGCAGGAACAATTCGCGCAACCGCTTCTTTCGATTGAAATTTTCATCTCAGATTTGTCAAAAGCGGTCAAAAGATTTCCACAATCCATACATTTCTTCTACAAAAATCAAGTTGCAGCCGCTTACGCAGAGAAAATTCCCAATGCCGAGTTTCTCGATTGAACACAACCTGAAAACTGGCCCGTTAGTTTTCGCGTAAAGTCAACAGTTTCTAAAAAAAACTGTCTTCAAAACTTTGTCTTGTTTGAAGGCCAAAACTTTTCCCCAAACCAATAGGGAATAATCAATTATACAGACACGGTTTCGGCAACCTATTTTTTCGATTAAACCTTTAATATCAGATTTGGCAGCATAGCTAGCGAGAAAAGTCCAAAACACAGTCAGCAAATCAAAAATTTGACATTTCCGACCGAGAATCATAGACTTTCTGTGAAAAAATAGGGCATAGCCGCTTATGCAGACAAAATTCACGCAACATTTAATTCGATTGAACCCAAGAGCTCAGATTTGTGAGGCTAGATCTCAAAAAAAGTCAAAAACTGTCAAAAAATCAGTCCAAAATCAAAAATTTGACTATTACGAGGGCGATAATTTTTTGTGTAAACAAGTTTGTAAGTGGCCGCTAATGCAGGTGAGCTTCTCAATACCCATTATCTCCATTGAACCCACAATATCAGATTCAAGAAGTTGGCTTTCGAGAAAAGTCAAAAAAATTCACAAAACGGTCAAAAATTGACAATTCCGAGGGCCATAATTTGAGGTTGTATCCGCTTATGCAGGGAGCTTTTCAAAAACCATTACATCATTAAAATCAAATACTCAAATTTGAAAGGGTAGTTTTCGAGAAAATTAAAAATATGTGTCAAATATTCCCCCACACACTTTTTCGAAAGCTGTAGACAGAGGGGTCAACTAAAAAGAGACACTAGGGGAGCATGCAGGCACACAGGAGAGCAAGTATTCTTTCAATTAAAACTCCTTTTTTGAAAATCAGTAGAAGTTTCCGAAAAAATAAAATTTGGAAATGATTTTCCATAACGAGAACAAAAATTTAACAAACCGATTGGTAAACATACAACTAACTTGAAAACGGCGGTGGAGAGTGATAAAATTGTGTTTCCTTTGAAAAGACTCAAAATAATCATTAAGCCGACAAGCAATAGGCCAAAAAATTGGTCCGAGGAATTTTTTTTTCAGCGGACAAAAAAATGTAGGACTAAATCAAACAACACAAAAAAGCAACATTAAAAAATGCGCGCAGCAAAAAAAAACGATTCCAAGATATGACAACTCAGCCGACAATAGACAAGCAGACAAATAATTGGCCGACAATTTTATTTGAAACAGAATACTTCCCTTTTGAAAAAAAAATCCTGGTCAGATTCGAACTCATCACCTTTGCCGTCCCAGGAATATTCGTTACCTCCAGGCTAACTTGGGCGCGAAAGCATAGAAGTTTGAACTCATTCTTAGTTGATTCAATTGATTCTGTTAAACAAGTTTAACCCAAAAAAAAGTCCATATTCCGGTTTAATATCGACTTTTTACCTGAATCAATGGGGTTTTCGAGATGGCATTCAGGAATTCATAAGAAAGCTGAACCTTCCAAAAGAGTACGTGCTACGGGAACTAAGCCGACAAAAATATTCATAGCCAATCGAAGATTGGAAAAAAGTAATGAACGCAAGTAAACATTTAAAAAAACACTGGACTTTAATGAAAAAACGTCAAAGAAAAAATTATATGCCCTTTAAGCTCTTTGAATTTCTAGAACGATTTATGATTGGCGCTTTTTTGATAACATTATTCCAACTTGAGAAAACTGGATCAACAGATAAATTTTTATTCAGCTGGAAATTTAAAAATTCCATTCCTTTCGAAACTAGAAATCGTTAACGTTTTTTTTGCGCCATTTCCACATTCGTATTTGGAGAGTGCTATTTAGGTCAATTTCAGTCGATGAATCTCAATTGAACTCAAAAAGTGCATATATAAGTGCATTCATAAATGCATCAATATGTATGAATGCACATCTGCAGTTATTAGAGAGTTTTATGCAAGAAAAAAATAGCAAGACCTATATAAGAGCCTTCATGACGTTCATTACTCTCAAACAGACAGACGATAGTCCGAAAAAGTAGAAAACTTCTATTTAAAAAAAAACAAGCCCCAAACGGATTCGAACTACATCCCTTAAATAGTTCAACTAATATCATACGAACAAACAGACTTACCCAGGTGGTAATTTCGTTCACGTGATCAACAAAGTAAACTCTTCCGTTTTTGGCCGCTCGCATTTCCCAACCCGGAGGCAAATCATCACCCCCTCCACCTGCCCCTTCGTTTTCAGTCTTGACATTCAACTCTCTGTTGACATTTGCGTTGCGTTCACGCTCATTGATCCATGATGCATCATCGTTTACTTTCTGATCGATTGAACTTAGTTCTCCGTTCTCTAAACCGCCATCTCCCGTTTCTTCGCACACTTGAGTCCTAGCGGCACGTATCTGTCTTTCACCACCACCACTGCTTCTACTTGAAATGTGATTTTTTGCGCTGCTATCTGAGAAAGAAGGCTTATTCCACTGAGTCGTTCGAGCTAATAAAATAAATTGAACAAGACTTAGATAAATCGGATGCTGCCGCAACAAAAATTTATGCGTTTACAGTTTTTTTCTGAACAAAAGCACGACCCAACTAAAAGAAAATTTACTTCGTTCGACAAGAAACAACAAGACTACACAAGAATGTTACCCACATTAAGACAGAGGCGAAGCCGCGCTTCGCAAACACAAGCGAGGATAATGCAAAAAAGATCTCTCAATAGGCGAAACAAAGTGAAATAAGGAAAAGAGAAAAAAACACCCAGAGAAAAAATAAGTGAGACTAGGAGTATCACATCCCCACATCTACTCCAGAACCGCTTGTAATTTTACTAATACTAACCACCAAATAAAGCAGCTAGAGTTCCTATCAAATTGCCAATGCTACGCAGCAAAAGCTCGACCAAAAAATTAAATAAAACTATTTCAATGATTTGTATTTGAATCTTCGACTTGATGGTTAGGAGTCCTCGCATCTCCGCTACGGTCACTTGGATGTAAACAATGCTAATGCTGGATGTACCTGTTTTAATATTTTAAACATATATGGTACTGATACGGAAAGGCGAATTCTGCTTAAGAAGGGACTTAAACGCTTATTTAAGGAAAAAAAACGACTACTAACTTTTTCAATTGAAGTCTATATCTCAGATTTGGCTGGTTAGTTTTCAAAAATAGCGAAAAAGATAAAAAAAAACGATCAAAAATTTAACTTTTTCTAAATCCAAACTCTTTTCTCCACTAAATTAAGGAAATAGCCTCTACTTTCCATACCTTTATTTTAAGATTGAAGATTTCCTCCCCCTGATTGTTTAGATTAAACCTCTAATATCAGATTTAGCCAGTAGTTTTCGAGAATGTGATGAAATTTCTTTAAAAAACGGTAAAAATTTAACAAGGATTTTTCCCCAAGTCCATATCAGCTTTTCTACAAAAAAACAGGGTAAAACAGATTATGCAGGAAACATTTATTCATCATGCTAATTTTAAAGCACTATCAACCTCAGAATCAGCAGGTTAATTTTGAAAAACAAATAACTTTCCAAAAACTTTCCAAATTTTAAGAATTGGACATTTTCTAAGGCTATAAGTTCTTTTCAAGGGCATAGCCGCTTGCGCCGGTAAGATTCGCATAACTGATCCTTTTTTTCGATTAAACCCTTAAACTCCGATTTGGCAGGGTAATTTTTGAGAAAAAGTAAATTTTTAAAAAAATTACAAAATGTCAAACAATGAGGTTGTTTGACGCCATAACTTTTTTCTACCAAATTTAGGGAAAAGCCGCTTGAGAAGGTGAGATCCCCGTAAATTTTTCTTTTGAATGAAACCTTCATCCCAGATTTGTGCATTTATTATTTGAGAAAACGAAAAAATTTAAAACGAATAGGCCAAAAAAAACCCAAAAATTGGGACCAATTTTTAAAACTCGCTACAGTATTGTTTGAGAATAATTCAAATTTCTGCGAAAAGAGCAAAAATTTTCCAAAGCGTCGAAAAAAAACGAAAAACAACAAATTCCATGCATTTTCATCATAAATATTTTTTTTCACACAGGACCTAACACTAGCCAAAAATAAAGCAGCAACAGATGCCATTAAATTGTTTAAAATAAGCGTAAACATGATTAAACTAAAATATACCAGAAGTGCCACCAAACGAACATTATTATTTGCGACTTAGGTCAGGAAAAATTCTTCGTAATAAAACCTTACGCTTCACTTGTGTAAAAAAAATATGTTTAACAGAAATCCAAGCTTTTAATTGTTGTTCGAAGTTTCACGAAAAGATAAAATCAGCCTCAATAACCTTTAGAAATTAGTAGTATAATCAGACCAAAGGCCACACTTTTCTTAAAAAACTCATCTTGCTCTCAACTCAACCAATAAAAAGTCTGAAATGATAGTACCAATTTCAGACCTGTTTTTACGTTTTCGTCAGAAAATCTTATTGAAATATTCTTTGGGAAACCCAACTGCGAACGAAAAGTGTCCTGTATAAGATTTCTTGTAATCAGTCACGCTCAAAACCTTTATCTCGACCTGAAACGTTGCCAAAATAAGAAACTAAGCTGCAAATCAAGGATTTAATTAAATTTGGTTCTTTAGCGCAATATTCAAGAATAAATGGCAAAATCTGCGGCCATGGACAAACACGTTTGTACTGAAATGGCGCTGGTAAGTCGAACAACGCTTGAAATTTTTTGATCACTTACTGGCATGATTGAGGTAATACACTCTCCCATTTTGGTCCTTTCTCCCTTCCCAACCAGATGGCAGCTCTTCAGAGTCCAATCTAGATTCGATCCACCCTTCTTCTGCATTAACTTCAGGGTCACATCTAAAGACCTGTTAAAAGACGAGCACAAACATTTAGCCAATCAATAACGCACCAAAATCGATCTAATCTGAGACAGAGAGGTGAAGCTGCACTTCGCATACAAAACAGGCGAAAAAAATTGGTAGTTCTGAAAATTGAATAAAGGATAAGAAAGCAACTGTTTGGGCAGAATTTTTGAGTTCTGCGAAGCTCGGAGAAGTTGTAAAGCTTGTGTTGGAGCCAAGGTTTTTTAATTTTTTTTTTCAAAAACATTTCACGCAAAACCGGATTGGATTCTTTCGATCGACCAAGGAATACATAGAAGGAAATCAAGTTTTGACGATGTTAGTATTTATTTCATCAGTGAACTTAACCAGTTGAAGAGGAGAGTTGGTGGAATGATTTTTGGCCAAAAACAGTGTTTTTGCACAAATAAAGAGATTGGAATGAGACCTACTCTTCTAGAAATCATTGTTAAACTTGAGAGATTTAGAGTCACTGATAAAGATCAATAATTTTCAGCTTTAAAATGGTTAATTTTTACAACACTGGTACCTGAACAGTTTTTAGAATCAATAAAAATTGTTCATGACAAATACAATTGTTGTTCCGACCATTTGAAAAAATGTGCAGGAACTTTGTTTTCGGGTGTGTTTTAGTTTTTTTCTTTTTTTTTCCCACCGTTTGACAGTAGTATTGATTAAAGGGAGTCCCTAATTGGAAACGAATCAAATCATTCAAAAAATGCATGTGCTCAGCTCTAAAAAAAGTGATGGAAGTAAAATGCAAAACAAACGTAGTCCCACAACTCCGTTTTCAACCCAAGTTTTGCCAAATTTTATTAAATATATAGATGAGATTAGTAAGAATGAACCCCGTAGTTGAGAGCCTAAGCTGGTATTTTACAAACTTTTAATCTACCAAATTTCTTAAGTGACGCACGCCAATTTGAGTCCACATAATTGCTAAGTGACGCCAGCCAATTATGACGCATTAGCAGTACCAGTGAATTTGAAAAAAAAACGAAACTAACCAACTAACATGCCTTAATTTATAGAGCGGACGTAATTTAACTAGTGTACGAAAAAGTTCATTAAAACATCCGACCCTGCCCAGGTTCGAGCCCTCTTATTTTGTTGCGGGTCTCCTTTCCTACCTCTACGCTACAGATCCATGGTACCTTGAAGCTAAAGTGCTATTTGTACTATAATAGTCTGTGTTAAAATCCTTAGCATTGGCTGTACTTAATAGCTGGTTATTGATCAAAATGAACACTTTCAAATTGAACACGTTTTGTCGCAACAATTTTTGAGACTTAGGTTGGAAAAAACAGTAAATACTATATTACCAGCTTTGCTTTGTGAAATTTTTGTGCTACTTGCGTAATAAGAAGTCAATCACGTATTTCGTGACCTTTTAACTTTCACTGTTCGATAGTGCAGTTTGCTTTCCTTTTAATAAAGGAAATGAACTGAACTTGAAAAGAAATCAAACCGCGAAAAAGCAAAATAATCGCGACCTATATAAGAGTCTGAACTACGTTCATTCACTCTTAAAAGCAAGCCGATTACCACAATTTCCAGTGTTAATTTAGCATAGGAACGAATTTTACCAAGCGGTAGTTAAGTCGACAATACTTGGGTAGACGTTCATTCAGCAGGAAAAAAAAATGAATAGCACATAGCGATAAAACTTTTTTGCTTTCACCGAAGCGCACATACGCGCAAAATTTCTATTTTAGTTGTTCAAACAGGGCAATCTGAGGTGACAACGCCAATATAACATAGCCAAACGCATTCAAGCTCATCAAATTTTTTAAAGAAATGCCAAACAAAAAAATCATCCATCTAATCGGGACTGGTAAATAGAGAACGAACAAAAACAATTTTAGATAGAATGAGCATTTGAAGTGCAAATGCATTCAAAAAATATCTTTAAAGGGAAAAGTCAAGGGTAAAAGCTCGGATCAAAACAATCGAAGTTTGCCGAAGTTTGATCAGTTGAAATAATCAAAAGTTCTTACCTTGTTGCATTCCATATCTTCACGTTGAAAAGCATTTGGCTCTATTTTTTTCACGGAAATGGATATACTTCCTTTAGCCTTGGTTTTCGACCTGAAAGAAGAGACTACCTCAAACTGAAAAGAATAATTCATGAAACTTCTGAATGCACGTTATTTTTAAATAGAGATTTCAAATACTTGAAAAACTTCGGATGTCAGTATTCATACAATTGTCAATGTTAGGATTTAGACAACTCAATCAGAAGTCTTCAATTCTAATTTATTCGAGAACTGCTTCAATCAATTGAATCATTAGATTTTAATTGCCATTTATTGACACAGGCATGAAAAAAGCATTGACAGGGCTCATTGTATTATTCTAGATTCTTCTAGGTTTTATTGATCCAATGGAGTCTTTGAAATGGAGAATTTTTTCACTACTAAACTTTTTATTACCATTTTTTTTCCTATTAATTACTTGTGCGAGAGTAAATTATCAGCCAAGCTGCACATCATTAATTGAGGTGAATTAAATCAAAAATTTAATTTGAACTTCGTTCTTTGCGCCTATCCGTCGCCCTCAGCAAAGGCTCTATAAAAAAAACTACTACAACTAATACGCTTTTGCCTTTTCATTAACAATTACGAAATATTTTACGTTTGAGATGTAATATTGTTTATTTTAACAACGATACTTTAATATTACGCTAAAACAAATACGATTGGATAATCAGCTTTCAATCAAGTCTGTCCGTATAAGCAAAAAAAACACTGCTAGTTTTTTTTCAAAATTCAGAAGCTAAACACAGAGTCGAAGCTTTGCTTTGCAAACACTAGCGAGAAAACGACAAAAAATCAGCTTTAAAAAGTGAAAAAAGAAATAAGTCTCGAATTAGTAAAACTTTGCTACGTATCGGATTCAAACCTGCGACCTCGAGATTTGAAGGAAACTGGCCACGAACGCTTAAAAACCGATAAAAACTAGTCACGAATAAATTGCCAGCGCAATGCAGTAAAAGTGGCACCGAATACAAATAGACTCACTTTTCCAAGTAATAATTTGGAATATAATAAACTGAAGGCATCCGCGTTAACTTTGCATGTAATAAAAAATTCAAAAACATAAAGCCAAATTATGTATAAATAAAGCATCAAAATTCTGATATTTAGATTTCATTATTGTACTGATATTTGAAGAAAATAGCTTTAGCCGGTTCATTTGAACAATAAGAAACGCGTCAAATGTGTTAACTTATTAGTAATCGAATGTCAAAGCACATAATATCAAAAAGCTACTCCACAAGTGGCACGAATATTTGCGACTTAGCTTATAAAAACAGAGCCAACTGACAGTTGGAAAAGAAAAATGAACGCAAGAAAACTGAAAAAAAAACTGACTTGTTTTCTCAAAAACCCTTGTTTTTCAATTTTTCAGTTTCGAGGAAAAAAATGGATGGCCTTATGACAAGTCAAACCGCGAAAAATCGAAATTGAGCGTGAACAAATTTTAAGATTTTCCTGAAAAAAAAACAAACAAAGAAATCATCAAGACCTTAAGAGTACGTACTACGTTCATTACTCTTAAAAAGAATAGTCGTACTATTACACAACGCTCACTTAAGTTCGCTAAAGCAAAGATGTAACAATTTCAGAAACAATTTGAGAAGTACGCACCCTCGCCTTGCGACTAATTGGCTCTCGTAGGATCTAGCTTCACTGCCGGCCTAAACAACAAAAATCGTCCAGATGGTTTTTTCATTGTTGAATTGTCCATTATTGAGAAATCTTGGCCCCGATAAGGTCTTCTCCTATTTTCTCAAGTAACTCTCCTTAATAAAGTTTCTCTTTAATAAAGCTCTCATAATGAAGAAAACCCTTGTATAAATATGGAAAAATTGCATGCTTCTTTCTTTCAGAATGTTTCTACGCACCTCGATTAATCAATAAATAACGAGATTTTTTGCTTAAAAGACATAAATTAATTCTTTATTCATACATTTGAACCCTATGACAAACACATCTGAGTCATGGCCACGGGATTTTCGGATCCATCGAACATCTGCCAATAAAGGTGGATAAACTGGGCTTACATTCATAAGATAGTGTGATAACGTACGCTTTTCAAGAAGTTCACGTGATATGCACAGTATCCATAGGAACTCTGAATGAGGGATTTCCCTGCAACCTGAAACGCAGTAAAATGTCTGTTGAAAATTAACTATTTGTAGAAAAAGGTGGACTAAAGGATGCTCAAGCAAAACTTTACCAGTTTAGAGTGATCAAGGACTTCCGCGAAGAGCCAGCAGTTGGCATCATCAACCTGATTTAAATGTAAGCAATGTTAACACATTTCACTTCACGAAGTTATTATATGCATTTATAAATCCTATAGCTAACCTTCACCACGAACTTGTCACTCCAATTTGGACTAGAACTCTGAAATGATTGAAGTTTAAATGCGGTTACGTAGATAATCGAACAAAAAGAAGCGAAAGAACTGGCAAAAAAAGAGAGAAAAATCGACGCTTTTCACGGGATTGAGACAACTACTTGCTTTAGCTATGAAAGGATTTTCTGTTTCATCTCATGAGAAGAACCAAATTGATGATAATTACAACAAATTGCCAAATTTTGAGATCGAAAAAAATTGACATGATAAAACAAAAAGCAATTGAAATTTTTCTACTTCAAAATTAGGATACTTTCAGGACGGATATCATGTATGTAAGATTCAAAAACTGCACTGCACTCTTGCGGACCAATTGCAATCAAGATTGGCAATTTAATCTTTTTTTTTATTATTCTTTGCCCGCCTTTTTTTGCAGGAATCTTTGTAAATGAAAACACTCACGCTTGAGGCTGTGGGTGTGGTAGCTGCCAACTGTTCAATTGACTGTATCTTCTCATAGCCGCTACACACATTATCCTGATCGGGCAGAACAAGCAGTCGCACGAACGGTTCCCTAATATCAAAGCTGCTACTTTCAAGAAACAAAGATGATGAGCGACCCTTTTCGTTCCGACCACTGAAGTTGGGGAGGAACTTTGTCTTCGGGTGTGGTTTAGTTACTTTTTTTTACTTCTATTTCACGCAAAATCAGTAACATCAAATAATCCTCAGTATGGGTCGAGTGATATACATTAAACTTCTTTTGGCCGTGATTCGAAGAATTGAAAAATAAAATTTTAAAAAATTGCAGGCTTTCGTTCAGATCCTCTCGCCACACCAGGGACAAAAAACGAGTCTGAAAAATTTTTTTTCTTTTTGTGGTCGGAACTTTCTGTTCTACTTCCATATTCCTCAACAACCGGTTATCCTTGTTTGAAAACAAATTTGGTTTTCGTATGAAAACGTATAATAGTCTTACTTGATGTTAATATCCAACTCAATTTCAGCTAACTGTCAAGATAGTTTTAGTATTTAAGATTTTACAAGGAACAAAATATGTTACACTCGACCTAAATCACATACCAATCAACCCTGCACTACTCCTCAATGGACACGTCCTAGCCTGTTAAAACAATTGCCAATTGTCGGTACCGTGTAACCGAAATAATTGCTGCTGCAATTCGCAAAACCAAACAAAAAACAAAAGGAGCTTTAAAAAACGGCAAAACATGAAAATTCCGACACATATATAGGCCTTAGAGAAAATTGATTTCGAAATCAAATGAGGATAGCCGGTTGCTGCGCAACAAAAAAAACTACAAGTAAAAGTTTTTTTTTTAAATTGAAATAAGTATCGTTTTTGTGCGTGATGTGACGAGAAAACTAGCTATATCCAGAACAACTAGCTATATTTGCTTGTTGCGGAATCCGCAACAAAACAAATGTGCCGAAAAAATTTACGTTATAGGTATTTTTACGCGGAATCTACTGAAATTTTGTTAGTGGAATCCACTTACATTTTGGAACATAATTAAAGACTTGTCTCTGGAATCCAGGAACATACAGACACAAAATTGTGCGCCTATCCAGTGCACAGTTTGGCCTCGTAATGAAACCTGTGGAAAATTAGTGAAATGAACATAGTCAACTATAGTCAACCATCAACACAGAAAAGTTTCTCAAAACTTATTATTGCCAGGAAACCTCTAAATGAAGCTTCCAAAACTAAGCTTCCAATGGCCAAGGAAGCTTTAAATGAGTTTTTCTTAATTAAATGACATCTTTTATTCCAACATCTAGCTAAAACCTGCTCTTTCGTTTTACTCGTTCGAAACATTAATTATTTCGAACAACAAGGATAGCCCATTACTGTGCAAATAGCACAATGAACTCATCACAACTATTGTAGTTAAGAAATTCAAAAATAACATGCAAACGTCAAAATAACATCAAAAACATAGCATCCGAAGCTAATTGACAGAAAAAACTAGACGAAAATCTTCAAGTCAAACAAAATTGATCGAAAAATATATCGAAAACTATCTAACAAAAAAATGCTATGCCTCAAATGATTTTCTACTTGAGGAAACACATGTCGAAAAAGACTATTATCGATTAAAAAAATAAGCGTCGAAGCGAAATTTGTGAATCCGGAAGAAAGCCGACAAAATTTGTGTACAGGCTCATTGAGCCAAAAAAAAACTTTTACATAATACATTTTGATTTACAAAATCCAAAAAACTCAAAGCTCGTGGTTATCAGTTCCTCATACGCCTTAGCACAAACGTAAAATTATTGCTGCTCTTCAAACGACGTAATCTGAGGCAAAAATGCCGATATGAGATAAACCAAAAACAAATTAACAGCTTATCAAAATTTAATGCGAAAAAAAACAGTAGGATAACTTAAAAAATTAGAGTTGGTGTACAACCAGCATGAACTAAATTTCGAATAGAGCAGGAACTAAAATACATATATGCTCAAAATATGTATGTTGACCAGATATTTCTGTTGAGGAAATAGTTCAGTGATTTTGTTAAACTAGTTGCTAACCTGAAAAAAAATAAACCGACCGCAAGCGTTAAGAAAAAACAAATAGGTTTCACAATTTTCTTTAAAAAAGACTTTCCCCTTAACTTCCTGATGCTTTTTTCAGTAAAAGGTCAATAAATTATTTACAAAGCAAACCATGACAAAATCGCGAAGCGAAGCATGACGAATGAACTTACAGAAAATGGTTAAAACCGCGGAAAACAACAAAAATGTCGAAAAAAATATGTACCAAAGTTAAAAATCTTTGTCTTGATTCCGCCTTAAATAAACGTCCTTTTCAGAAAACCATGCCAAGTAAGACTATCGAAAATTAAATTAACCTCGAAACAATACTTAGGAGGCGATATTAAAGCCAACAACTCTGGAGGAGAGAAAGGTTGAGTGAAAAAAAAACTTTGAAACTGTGTTCAAATACCTTTCAAAACAATTGAATAGTAACTTTTTTTGCTCATCACACGACTCAAAATGAGGCCGCTATAATATAAACCAAAAACTTTCACGCCGAATAAAGAAAAAGAGGAAACAAAACGATTAAAAAAACAAATAAGCTGAATTCGGAGTTTTCAGCCTGCATTCGAATATAACCGGCAAGAAAAATACAGTCATTTCCGTTGAATTGATGATTACAGATTTGGCGATAATCACTAAATTCACTCCTATTGTGAACGTTATTTTCAAAACAAGCCTAGTAGCCAGTTGCTAAAGGTAAGAAGCAGCAAAAATGGGCTGTAAAAAAGCCAATACTGTAAGAACTCCAGTATAAACAAATTCTAGCCTTGAATCTCATATTTTTTTTCTCAAAAAATGCATTTTCTTTACCTTTGTTGTGTTTTTTTTGTTTCAATTAAGGGCGATTGAAAAAGAACGATTAAAAAAACAGGCTATATTAGCTTATGGTTATTTAAAAAAAACTGCAGTAGAAATGAGAATCGCATTGTCTTTAATTTCTTGAAAGATCATTATTTGTAAAATTGGTGTCATTTGGTCTGAAAAATGGCACGTTTTAAACCAGTTTTTTTAAAGAGCCAGTTTTTAACATTTTCATTAAAACGAATTTTACCATCTACCAGCTTTCTTTGGGATAGTCAAAATTGAACACAACCATAACTACCACACAGTTTTTCCCGTGTGCAAAGATCAGAAAAAAAACCTCAGAGACCACGAGATTCAACCTCGGATCTGCATCAAGAGTCTTTTGGTTTAACCACTTAGCCAAGTCCTCTTAGATTAATCAAATTTCAAGGCTATATGACAATATATCACGCACGCTCAACCACTGTCAAACTCTAGTCCTAAATAAAGCAGCTACATATGCTAATAAATTGCGCCAATGCAATTCAGCAAAAGTGGCACCAAATACAAATAGACAAAATTTTGCAAACATTAATTTGGAATATAATAATCTGAGGGCATCCACACTAACTTTGCATGTAACAAATATCAAAGCATGAGGCCACATTATGTATAAATTATGCATTTCAAAAAATTGCGAGATGAATTGAGTGAAAAAATTTCTGAAATCGAAATTTTATTATTGTTATGTTGTTTAAAACAAAGCTTTTTTCGGTTCATTTGATGAATTAAAAATGCAACAACTGAGTTAAGTTATTACTATTCGAATTTTCAAAGCACATGCTATCAAAAAACTGTCAAGGGCCCGAAAATTGGCAGCAATATTTGAGTCTTAGGTTAGAAAAAAAGAAGGTTCTTAAAAATACACTAAGCTGACGCAAGTGTAGAAAATCTAAATTTTGTGATTTTGTTTTGAGTCAAGATTTTGAAGAATTTTGAAAAAAAAAATCAGGAAAATCGTCACATCTTTTAACTAATTCGATCTGAGCAGTCTTACAGCCTGCTAACACAGAGTTTCAATTTTTCATAGAAGCGAAGCTGGTCTTCACAACCACAAGCGGCAAAACAGCTCTAAGGCAAAAGAGAAAGCAAAAAGAAGTTGAGAAAAAAACTTATTGAGCCAGAACTGAACAGCCTACCTTAAAATTACGAGTCTAACGTCTTCCCACCTGCACCAAGTGCTCTTGTACGCATTTAAACACAAGCCACTACCAAAGCGGACAAATGAACAAATGTAATTTAACACACACTGTACAAACAAATTAAGAATATTAAATTAACACTTTAATTTGCGGCTTCAATTTTTCGATTCGCCATATGACACTACGATCGCTAGCTTGCATGTGTTAAAAAACATTTAAAAAATAACATTGTAAAATTTTGACGAGCGAAAGGCGAAAAAACTGAAAAGCTAGGGCATTCAAGCGCCAGTGGATGTACAAAAGTTAGTCGATGGCCAATTTGTTCAATTTTTTAGGAGGGATAAAAAGAGGTAGTCAACGTTTGTTAACAACTTTGTTAACAACTAGTCAACGTTTAAATTATTGACTTCAGTTAACTTTTATAGGCTGGAATTTATCATCGCATTTCAACATGCCAACATAGAGTGCTCAACATGCGGCAAGTGAAGCGCTGACATGAAATTGTATTCAAAAATATAAATGCATTAATATGTATGAACCCACATCTGTAGTTTTTGGAGCATTTTAAGACTTTTTCTTGAAAAAAAAAACAATCAAAAACCACCAAGAACTATATAAGAGTCTTCACTACGTTCAGTGACTCTTAGTAATTATGCCAATCAGTCATATATCATATGAAAACTATTTCAGCCACAACTCGATCATTAAAAAAATTTAAAAAAAAACAGTTTGAAACTACTGAGTTGTATTCTAATGCCGAGCGAGTGATTAGGTCTTATAATAGGCTTATAAATCAAGTTCAGTCGTTCAAAATTAACTTAACTCCAGTAAAATTAGTTTTTGACGTTTCTTCCAGCGCTTTCTTAGGAAAACAAATCAAAGTCTTCTGTGAATTCGTTTCCTTTTGGGTTTTTTTTGAAATTTTAAAACATTTTTCTAGAAAATCTTGTCGAATGCACCTAAATTACTACTTATATTAAATATGCCTAATTACTATGCTTTCTTTCAGATACTCTCATCACACCACGAATAAAAACTGACACCGTTTTTTTTTTAAAATTAATAATACCGGAAATTTTTGTGATACTTCCGTAGCAACCGGCTATCCTCATTTCACATGAAATTTCTTTTCATCATAAATTTTTCTTGATTTACATGAACTTCACTGCTCAGAGAACTTACGAAGTTCCGAAGAGGGTCTTTCTCGTCAGACCACGTGCAGATACGTTTTGGACAGAGAAGAGACTAACACTCGGCCTGCCCTTCCTCAAATCCGTAGCCTCATGAGCCATACGCAGTCATGAGAAACTGAAAACACTTTTACTCGCCACTATTTACAACCGAAGGAGAATCATGATGCACTAGACGAGTTTCCAACTTCCGTTCTAACTAGATCGAAAACGAGGCTCAGTGTATTCACTTTTCAATTCAGGATCAAAAGATAAAATACGGATAAGGCATGAAAATCAGACGACCAATACTAGTGCAGTTTTAAAGAGTAAATCAATTACTACTAGCAGTTCACAATATTATTAAATCTTTCAAGTTTGTGTTTCGCAATTAGTTCTCGGGCAGTGCTTGTAGCTTTCAGTTTGACCAACATTTTCAAGATATGAGCAACAAATGCCTCACATGCAGCTTCGTAGATTGAGTTTGAACAAGCAGTCGATAAAGTTTGGCCTAAAAACCGAACAAAATGCTGCATTTCAGCCGGAAAACTAGATCCATTATCTTCGTTCGACAACCAACTTTGAGGAATTGTGTCTACGATTTTGTCAATTTGCCCTATTAAGCCTTCGTCCAATGGTAGGTTTGTCATCGCCATTATAAGATAACGATTCAACACTCCGTTACAAAAGCGGTCGATTAAGGGTGCCGATGAAAAAATGTCGTCAAAAAGAGTAATAGTATACGCGAGCTTGTAACATGTCCAGAATTGGCGGTCCAAATACTGTCGCAATGGCAAAAAAGCCACAACATTTTCTTTCGAGAATAGAGGAACAAAGCAATGTTCTGAAACACTTTTGTCAATTTGCCTCAAAATACTTTTCGCTAGTTGTTGAACTCGTTTGCTTTCAGGGTTCACTGTTGGGAAAGTGTAAAATACCTGGGATATCAAACTGTGAAGATTGCTGCTTTGGCTAATTGAAACTGGATTCCACACATTTTCGACGAAGAAATTTATTTTCGGAATAACAATTCTGTCAATAACTTTACTAACTAAAAGAGCATCTGAGTCATCTACTGTAGCTTCTAAAGATTTCTCAAGCAAACTTTCAGACCGAATGCCGAACAATGTCAGAATTTGAAACCAGCTCAAAGATTCCAGATTATCTTCTGCTGGATCTAACAGTTTCAGAGGGTTCCAGTGAAGCATTTCGAGCTTCACAAATGGAGAAAATATTTTGGGTAAGCTTTCAGATACAAAGGCGTTGTCGTAACTTTGAGGGTATTTCAGTTTCCAAGATTCCAATTTCTGCATCACTATTTGCAAATCTTGGAACTCTTCGACTGTGTCATCAAACAGAGTCTTCTTCTCATTCGTTATTCTGCTCTGTTCTTCCATTAAACTCTGGTTCAAAATGACGTCCAGCTCCTCGTCGCTAGACAAACCTTCGCACAGTTCTGGGCTACTTTTTCTGAAACATTCAATCGAACTCTTATACTTGACATTCGCGTTGATCGTCATTCGCTGCATTTTCCGTCTCTGTCGCCTCGCACATCTCTCCATGATTCGCTGATTATGCGCGGCTTCAACTTGATTAGGGTTCAAGAAACCACCTGCCGATGCTATCAAGGTCATTTCTAGACTCTCGTCGTTGACCTCTTGTTGTCTGCGATTACTCAAATATTCTGCTTCTCTTACGTAACACTGATGAATCAGCTGCTCAATTTTATCAATGATCAAAACTTTTTCACTCATACAATCCAGGTAATCTCCTACGTAATTTCTCACAGACTGGAAAAACTTGAACTCTTTTTCATACTCGGGGAGTAACTTTTTTGCCGACTCGATTTCACTTTCAGCTTCTACATTTTGGCGAACAATCGACCTCATTTCGTCTGCTGTTTTCTCATGAGTCACTTTCAAAAAGTTCAACTTCTCATTCAAGTCTGTTAAGAAAGCATTGCAGGAAACTTCAGGCAACGGAGGCAAGTTGACTTCCATAGTTCCATGTCTATTGTATCCCGACATTGCTGCCGCATTCGGTTCCATATAGGAACTGTAGCCAGATCCATTGCTATAATCCAGATGACTTGAATGAAACTGCGGCTGATGCTGCACCAAAATATCAGAACTCTTTTCGGTCAAATTTTTCAGCGATGTTTTCCCAATGACTTTCTCTAACTGTTCCTTTTCCCACTTTGACATCTCGTTTTCAGAGTTATCCTCGTCGGAATCAGCTGTCCGACTGTGATCGCTATGATCATCAATAGTCTCTTGGATATTAATCCGATGCTCTAGTCTATCGTTCTTTTTGCCGATCATTTGCATGCGTTCATCTTCATCTCCACTTGACATTTCGTCACGTCTTTCAGCTCCGACAATTTCCCTCTGCTCACCAGAACCTTGCTGATTATTCAGCGGCATATAATCCCCTTGGCCTGTTTCCCTTGCAAATTGTCTGCGTTTCCTAGCTGCGTGAATTTCCGCAGCATTAGGAATCATTCCATGCTCCAACCTGTTGAGAACTTTATCATATTGTTCCGAATCATCACTATCACTATGAGCCTCATGCCTCCCTTTACTCTTATTCAATGGCTCCACTTTCACTTCTAGTTTTATATCGGGAACCGGTTCTTTTTTTATTCCATAAGTATTCTCGATCAGTTTCAGATCATTTTTCGAATCTCGAGGAGTAATAAGTTCCTCTCTTTTCACAATCTTGTCTCGTTTTTTGAATTTATTATGAGCGGCACTAGCTGCTGCTTTCTCATTAGCCAAAATTTTCTTCTGCACAAACCAATCAGGATTCTCACACACGTCACTATCATCTGAGTCGTTGTGATCGAACGCTAGGGAGGGTTTTGATGACGAGCCTCGCAACTTATCTATAGGGGCCGATACCGACTGTGTCTTAAGCGGTTTGAAAACTACTTCTGTAGATTGAGCCGCTGATTCTTCGCTGACATTGTCGTCACTACTATTCTTGCGCACCCTTAAATTTCTTCCACTTCGCTTTTTGAACATGTTTCGAAATTCTGAAAATTTCACGAGTCATTTTCGAAATAATTGTTCAAGCGCACCGATATTTCACAGCATTTCACAGCAATTTTTGCTTTTTTGCTAGAAACTGAGGTGCTTATTTGTAACGGGGAAAACAGTTCAATAAATTATTGTAAACTAAAGGAACGTGTCAATTCTAAATAAGAGTTTTCGAGGTAGACATAGATAAATTTACTGCACTTCTTCAGGTATACTAAAACGTTCAGTTATGAACACACTTAATTGCAACAATTTACTAAAAGTTCAGCCCAATTGAAGGCTCATGCAACAACTTCTAGCCACATGCAAAACTCAAATGCATATTTTCATTTTTTCTCGAAACCGAGACTCAACTGCAATTCTTCCTTGGTACCCGATGCATCCACACGAATAACTTTGTCCTTGAACTCTGCTCTGTTCAGAAATTCAGTCTCGTGAAGTTCGTGCAAGGACTTTAAATACTGCAGAGTAACTCGTGATTCTTCTTTAGTCATCTCAGCGTCTAAACAGTCATTTCGCGATTCATACTTTTGCTCTGCGCAATTTTTTCCTATTTCTTTTGTTCTCGTAGTTCACGTAAAATATTAAAATTTTTCAAAAATCAAGTCAAATTATTAGTCCAACCTTGGCTTTTCAGCCTGTGTTGCAATCTCTGATGACATAATTCGGGAGTTGTTTCCAAGTACAGGAAGCAGTCTACAGTGCAAGATTTTGCTTCAAGTTCAGAATTCATTGTCTGGTAAAACTCTTCGAGAATACTAAACTCCATCGGAGTAAGGTTACTCTAAACAACACATTTTACACAGAGGCGAAGTGGAGCAACATACACCTTAGGATACATACAAGAAAGCCGTTAAGTAAAAAAACGAAACCATTTCGAAAATGTTTCAGAAAACTAGATATATCAAAATGAAAAAAAAAACATGCTAAGGCAATAAAATTTAAAATTAGCATTTGAAGAAAAATTACAAAGCGGTATGAAAGCCGAAAATACCTGAGCAGAAACTCTTTAATCCGAAAAAAAAACGCAACTTGCGATACAATAAGTATAGGATTGAAACCGCATGACGCCCAGGAAGTAGCAAAGATGACCCATGAACCCTGCATTCGAACCATGCAAAAGTAAAAAATGGAATTATAGAAAAAAAAAATTTACAAATTGAACAAACAAAATTTTTTTTTTCATGATTAAATTTACTGAAGTTTTGAAACAGAGGTGAAGCTGCAGCTTTGCAAACACGAGTGAGAAAGCTGCATCGCACTATCACACTACGCTACGCTCGAGTAAAGAGGAGGTCCTTTGAGTTTGATTTTAAGCATTCGAAAATATGAAGGCAGTCTTATAATCTGCAATTTGCAGGAAAAATATTAGATAGAAAAGCCGACATCCAATAGCTGATTTTTTTGGGAAAAAAAAATGGATGCACTACTCGAATAGTGTCCACGAGTGGGCTCTTTTCCCTTCCCCTCGCCTGCAAATTTTTTACAGTAATTTTTCTGTTCACATTGTCGGATTGTTATAAAATTTGGCACAAGGACTGATTAGGTCAGGACAAACATATTTGGTCTTCATACTCAAATTAGTAAAACCATTCGTTACACCATAAAATCAATGCTTATAAGAGGTGGCGGAAAAGGAAAAAGAGCCCACGAGTGTTATATATGTAGTGAACGCAAGGTAGTATACCCAATAAGGCAACTAACTGACAGTTTAAGTCGACAACCGTAAGCAAAAACTTGCGATATAACACAAATATAGCAGGTCAAACTAGCAGACAGAAATTGAAACGAAAATAAAAAAGCTTTAAATGTCGAAAACATTTGATCAACCAAGATTTTCATATCTTTGAGTCAATTTGTCTGAAATAAAGTTCGTTTTTTTTTTTAAATAACATGCCAAATAAAACAACTGTACGTTAAAATTGCATCGGAACAAAACTTACGAATGCTAATTGCGAGCATAATAATCGGATGCGCATTGCGAGCATGAAAATCTCATGCGCAACAATTCATTGCACATTAATCGCAGGCGCAAAATTGTTTGCACAACAAATTTTATTTGAAAAATCTTTATTCAATTTTTTTTAGATGCAGCAAAATTTCGACAAAAAATTTTCAACTCAGTTATTTCCACAAAGTCATTCAGGAAGTTAGAAGATAGATAAATACTCAAGAAGAGACCGTGCTGCAACGAGAATTAGGCCGACCGAAAAAGACACAGCCGGGGGATGGATCGAAAAGCAGAAAACTTATTAGTTGAAAAAAAAAACAGTTCCCGGCCGGATTCAAACCCCAAGACTTTGTCATCTCAAGCATAGGTTTTACGTCTAGGCCAGATGCGCTGGATAATTGATCGAATTTGAAGCAGAGGGGAGAAGCGGAGCTTCGCACCATTTGTGAAACTACACAAACATAAAGAAAAACATGAGTCGAAAAAAATGAAAAATGTTGAAAAAAAAAAAATCCAGTGAATCAAAATTTTCTTAAGTCTCGATGAAGTACACCTAGGTCTCCGCTAAAACTGGAGGTACGCGTGTAATATCTTTTGAATTTGTTATACTGATGCGGGACGAAATGCGTGATTTGAAAATTTGGACTTGCCCAAAACCTTAGTTGTTTCTCTACATAAAATAAGTGAGAAGAGTAAAAAATTTTGAGATAAGCAATTTTACCAAGGAGATAATAATTCCCTTACAAAAATCTAAGAAGTCGCCGCTTCTGCAGGAACAGTTATCGCAACCGTTCCTTTCAATTGAACTTGATTGTTTTTCAGATTCGATTGTAAATGAGGAAAATCCAAAAAAAATTCTAAAAACGGTCAAAATTTCATAAAAACGGTCAAGACTTTCCAAAATTTTAACTATTTTCCGAAAAAAAAACAAGTTGTTGCCGCTTAAGCAGATAAGATCTCCACAACCAGTTTTCTCGACTGAACACAACATGTGAACTGGTACAGTAGTTTTCGCATAAATTTCCCAAAAAACTAGTTTCAAAACTTTGACTTGCCAATTATAATATAAAGCCTTCAACAACCTGTTGTTTTGATTAAACCTATGATATCAGATTTGGCAGGATAGTTAGCGAGAAAAGTCCAAAACATGGTCAACATCAAAAACTTGACATTTCCGAGAAACACAGTTTTTGCATGAAAAAATAGGGCGTAGCCGCTTTTTCAAGAATGATTAACGCAATCTTTATTTCGATTGAACCCAAAATCTGATTTGGGCGCGTAATTCTCGCCAAATGTCAAAACTTTTGAACAAACGGTCAAAAAATTGAAAATTTGACTTTTCCGAGAGCCAAAGCTTTTGGTGTCACCTACACTTGGGCGCAGTCGCTTAAGCAGATGATCTTCCCACAGCCCGTTCTTTGAATTGAAACCAAAATCTCAGATATGGCAGGGTAGTTTTCACGAATATTCCAAAGTTCAAAAAACGGTCAAAAAACAAAAATCAGAACTTTCCAAGGGCGATAACATTTTGTGTCTTTAAAAAAAAAGACTCAAGGGGAGAAGGCAGGCACACAGGAGAGTAGACGGTCAATTGATACCCTTTTTTGAAAATCAGTAGAAGTTTGAGAACTAATTTTCTCTAATAAATTTGGGAATAATTTTCCATAACAAAAAAAAAATCAAGAAACCAGCTTGAAAATTGTACAGTTGAGTGTTAAAATTGTGTTTTCCTTGAAAAGACCTAAAATTAGTTCATTAAGCCGATAAAAAATTGGCGGAAATAACTTGCGGCAAGGAATTTTTTTGCGAAACAAAATGAACTAAGAAGGAAATACACACAGGCAAATAAAATTACAAATTGTATGAGTAAAACAAAGATGAGTCGTGCGATACTTCATCCAGGCGATTAGGCCTGTGAATAAAGTTTTTACGGGAAAACGTTCTAATCGCAAGAGTAAGCACCAATTTTGTACACTTAGAACATTTCGCAAACTACTTGTTTTGTACGCCCGGTTTTTCTAGACTTTTTTAAAAAAAAAAGAAGCTAGGACTTTCCCGCTGAAATACTTCCTAAGGTTTCGCGAAATAGAAAGAAAATAGGTAATAAATTCTGCGCTGCGGATAGATCATTGCAATTTGAATGAAAAATTTGATTTTTGAAGTTTTTTGACCAAAAAGTCAATCAGCGCGCGCTCCGACTCAAACCTTTCTGGGCGCGGGCTCTCATTGAAATTTACCATATACTGATTACATTGGCGACTTAAGTAATACCTTAGGGTTGGTTCACCAAAGTTGGTAATCTTAAAATTGTTCAAAAAGTAAGGTAAGGTGAGGATTAAATCCGCCCCTGCCTTTGGATATGCTTCTTAGTACACGTTTTCCATCTCTTAAACACTTCTCTTTAGAAATTAGCAACGTTGAGCACAATCCATTTGTGGTTCGACTGCAAATTGTAAGCAGCAACTCACGAGTTTTTTGTGATTTTCCTCGAAAACGTACCGCGCAGAGTGCAGAGATCGCTCCATCAGATGAACTTTGCTGTCATCAAAATTGAGGTGGTGCGCTCGGAACATCAGAAGTTGTACGTAATTCTGGAATGCAAATGACCAACGCTTCGGATCTTGCATCATCAGATCAAAGAGCTTCGATCCTAACAACAAATGAAACAATAGCCAACAGTAGGTTGGAAAATTTTGAAGCAGGAAAAAAATTGATTTAAAAATTGTGAATATTTTCAGCTTTCTATTTTTACATTAAGGCTGTTAGAATTTCATGAAAAATTTATGACCGACACTTTTTTTGATAAAGTCAACCCGATTAACAAGAATCAGATCATTGGGTAAATTTTTGACTGTTTTTGAGATAAAGTTCAAATGATTATAGAAAACTCGGTCAATAGGTAAACTTTTCATTTCACAGTGAAATCTAAAAATAGAAATCCACTTTCGAGACTAGAAAGAGTTCGTTGTTTGCGTCATTTTTGCTTTGAAATTGGAGAGCGTATTGTGTTAAGGAGAGTTTGCCTTCCTGTTAACAAAAGAAATGAACTTAACTTAACAAGAGACCAGAAGTTAAAACGAAAAAAAAAAATCATATTTGAGCGTGAACAAATTTTAAAAATTTTTTTACCAAATAAAAAATCGTTAGAAATAGTTTCAATTGCATTTGATCATTTCGGGATATTGAAGCACGAGCAACTGTAAAATGAAACAGCTAGGATGATCGATCAAGTGAGACTATCTTTGAAAAGTATATTTCTACGTAACATCTTTTGATTTGAAAGAAAAAACGCTGATTGCTCTTGTCAACAGTGACTCGAAGTATGATATCCAGTTCGAATCTCGCAATATACATCGGTTTTCCAAGAGAGCAGACACTTAAGGACATTTCAATATAAAGAATCCGCCCCTGAAAGCATATTGGTCGAGAGCCAACTTCGCTTCGTTTTGCGCGACCCACCTCTAAATTTTATACAAGTCATCTTGAACTAACCAGGACCTATTTTCATCAATAAGATTTTCAGGTCATCTGCAATTATATAGGGTTATGATAATTAGAGCACAATGCAAGATCATTTACGAAAATGCAGAATATGAATGCTCCCAGAAGTCAGTCATGAGGGACAACACTGGCGACATAGAGAACTTTTGAGCAAGGGTTGTCGACACATACAATTTGTTTACGGTCTTCTGGAAAATATAAAAGTCTTGCAACATGTTTCCACCAAATTTCCACCTAGGTGGTAATCCAATTGACTTCGTGATTTTGTAACATCCAGTAAAACTACGATGTCCCACATTCTTCTCGAAATACTGAAGTTTGTTAATAAGATTTTTGGCAGAATATTTGACAAAAGACTCGTCTGATTGTTTGTAATTTGCTGCTTAGTATAAATCTTCCATTGCAACTGATTTCGCTGCGTTTTCAATTTCTTCAATAAAGTTGATGTACTGGTGGTTATCTACGGTGGTAGGGTCTGTCGGTGTCTTGTTCTGATAAGCACAAACAGCTTAACGATGGGATCAAAACATTGATTATATCCATCCCACGAGGATTTCAACTGCATAACAAATCGGTTCGAAGGAATATGATTCCATATATTTTTTGTCATCGAAATCCATACATCAAAAAAATTTTCAAAAAAAGTTTTTGATCCAGATATATGACACATGACACTGTTGACAATATAACGGCGTTGTAATCAAAATAGTTTCATGTTTTTTTAACGTTTATATCTCGTTCGACCCTAACAAAGAAATTTCTATTAGCCTGTTTGAAGAGAACACTCTCAAGAAGACTTAACCCATTCTGAAAGCAACATCTTAAATAAAAAACTCGGCCCAAAATGAAAAACTTCGAAAACAAATTTCTCAATTTCGAAAACTTTCCTTAATCAATTTTTCCTAAAATTGCTTTCCTCTTTTATTACTAAAAATTATCAATGACCTAACTCACCTCCAGTGGAAAATTTTCAGAACAATTAACAGAGGACGATCAAGGCATGCAAGTTAAGACAGCAAAATTGGAATCCGGTGTTTTTCACAACGACTAAATTTTGATAAACGCTATGATCGATTATTTGAAATCCGATAGTACGGCAAGCGAATGAATAGTGGAGATTGCATGTATACTAAAAATTGAAATGTATACGAAAAAATGCAATCTCTGCTTTTGGAGGATTGAATTCAACAATTAAAACTAACACAGAGGCAAGGATGGGCTTCGCATCGTTTGCGATGCAAAATGAAAAACTTCGATTACGTGCAAATGAATTGAAGCTTTGAAAAATACTAAGCCATCATTTTCGACACAGTGGCGAAGCGGAGCTTCTCATTGCAAGCTAGCGAATAGAAAACAAGACGGAAAAACAAAATCAAAAAAAATTGAGAAAAATGATAAACTCAGAAAAACAGTAAAGAAACAACAAATTGCATTAAATAAGAGGTGTCTACCCACTTGTTGTCAGCTTTGTTGTCCGCTCAGTAAAAAAAATCTTATTTAATGCAATTTGTTGTTTCTTAAGTTTTTACTGAGCGGCTTTTAAGCTGACAACAAGTGGGTAGACATCTGTTGAGCCAATAGTAGAATTTAAAAATAATGCCAACGAAATATGTTGTCACAGACAAATTTTGATCCATCGATTTATACATCTGCATGTTTACCGAAAGAATTTTTGCAATGGCTAGGAATTATTTCCCAAATTGAATTATTACACCAAAATTGAAATTAGCAGCCCTGTAGTGGGATGCTGGCAGGGTTTCCCCAAAGGTTGCGCATTTGGCCTTCAAATATGAATAACCAAATGCGTTTAGTTGCGAGATACGACACATTTTGTTATTGTTTCACAAATTTTGAAATAAGCAAAAATTTAGTGAGGCGCTTTCAAATGTAAATTCAGGCACTGCGACTATGACAGCTCAAAACCTTTGTATTTTTTTTATGCAGAAAAAGATACAAAAAAATTCACATTTTTAATTCTCTTGCCTGTATCTGGGTTATAAGATCCCCTCCCTGTAGCTGTATCTTTCAAACACACGTTCAACGATTTTCTGAGAACAATCTCACAGCCCTATAGTTGAGTGTTGCCAGCGTAGTCTCAGGGGTTGCAAGTTGATATCCTTTTAGTTTGCGACATTTCGTTTTTATGCCTTTTCAAAAATTTGAATTAAAAACTCGTACAAAATTTGAAATTTCTAACACTATAGTGGGGTGCTTTCAAGGTACTCTCAGTAGTTGCGAGTCAGAGTTATGAAATGAGTGATTTCCAAATGGAATCGTTTCAAAAGTTTTTTTACATTCCGAAAAGGCAATTGTATGCGTTGCTCTCATGTTAGGGTGTTGTTTCTGAGTCTAAAAACCGACTATCTGAAACCCAGAAGCTTAGATGTTGTAAGTAAAACAACAAACTGCAGCATTATAATCAGTTTCACGTTCGATTATCTGTTCGAAGCACTGGAGATTCGTTACACGCTAGTTAAGCTTTTAAATTTCTGCAACATGAAATATCTGAAACTTTTCAATTCAAAAAATCAACATTTTTTATCTTGTAGCAACAAAAAAAGTAACAAAGCTGACAAATTTTGTCTAATTTTGCTTTAAATAGACAAAGAAGAAGTTACTTGGACTGAAGGTTAAACCTTGGCATGATTGCATGTTCGTAAGTTATTCAAAGCTAGTTCGAACAATAGATTTAATGGAAAAAAATATGATACTAATATCGTTTTGTTCTCTTTCCTTATGTGTTCAAATTTTATAACTTGTCAAACCTGATACCTAAAAAGTTATCTAATGCCTCCGAAAAAGCAGACGCATTTAATTGAAGAGGCCTTCAAAAAGCTCAAAATAGAAAAAAATAGAATTTTGACAGCTTTTGACGAAATCTGCTCGCAGTTTGAGCTCTCAATTTCGGGTGCTTCAATATCTCAGAACTCGAGCAAATCATCACAGCTCACCAAGGACTTTAAGACAAAAAGTAGTATGTCACGATTCCGAGAGCACGAAATACCGGGGCTTTTTTTGAACTCAACAACATTTAGCGTGGTGGCATACTTCGTCAAGCTCAAAACCGATACCCAACACCCGTAGAATGACAGATGGCAAGGACTGTCTCTAAAAGATCGAGCGGAGAGATACGTCACGATTGATTTGAAACCATTTGCAAAAATTGCCCCCTCAGAGCACCCAAGGCCCCGAAACGCCTTCAGATGCTATCGATGAGGTGGGCAAGGTACCTCTCAAAAAGATGCAGCGAACAATTGTGTCGACTTACTCGTCAGGATCATCATCCTAGTCAACGAGTGGTTAGTATGTTGATTTCAATTACTTCATCATATCTTGATCCCTTTATCAAATGATCTGCAAAAAAATTGTTCAATAAATTACTTCAGCTTGCTTTATTTAGACGGCTCAGACAAAGAAGTTGATGAGACAGCAGCTGTGAAATGACGGGACAGCAGCTGTGGTTGATGAGACAGCAGTCGTGGTTGAGGAAGTAGCAGATCCTCCAGCAATTCCTCGTGAAGATTCTGTCGAAGCTGCCCGAGACGCAAGTGAACCGCAGCCCGAAGATTTTTTTGCCGGTGAAGTGGACAATACAGAAACGAAAGGAATACACCTCGTCAAGTTTGCGGCGAAAAAATGGGTGACATCAGATTCAAGGAAGAGCGCAAGGAAGAATGTCTCAAAGTGCTCCAAGATACCTACTCATCTGATGAGTTTGACGAAGCACTTGAGTTGACTAGCCTTTTAGAAAATGTTGATCCGGAAAGTCCGATTATACCGGAATTAAGATAGCAAAATGAACTTGGGATCTCAGGAACACCACATAGCTAGAAACTTTCACCAGAAAACTTGCCAATCTTGCCATTATTGTATTCAAGAAGAAGAAGAAGAAGAAGAAAAGTTTTAATTGTGATATCAGAAATACATCTGAAAAACCTGAGAAAAAGAACAAACGAAAAGAAAATGAGTTCATAGATAAATCATAAGTTCGTTAGGCACAATCTGAGGAACCGGTTCGGAAAGGTGTTGTTGAACTTCCGAGAAAGTTTGTAGGAGCCTGGCGCTCGGTTTCTTAATCTCTGCATAGAATACTCTTCGCGTGTGGGAATGATATCAAATAGAACATTGTTGTCTATTAGAACATTAGAACATTGTTGTTCTTATTAGCCTAATTGTTGTGATAAACTTATTAAATAGTTTTTCAGAGTATGGCCAATTCGGAGAGTGCCCGTGGTCACTCTCGACGTTTACCATCGACGAAGAACTACTACCCAACTATAGAAGAACTGCTCGAGGCTGACAACGATGATGTGACAAGAGTATTCAACGACATGACGAAGACAAGTCTCATGTGTATAGGCTAATAGGCTAATAAGAACATTGTTGTCTATAGTTTATGCTCATTGTACAAAGCGATTGTTCGTTGGCCGTTGATTATAGCTAAGATTCGGCATATTTAGTACACAAGTGACTCAAAACTTTGAAGTGAATTGTGTGACATGATACCACTTTTCTCGTTTCAAGTTTGAGCGTTAAGTGCGACAAAGGCTCTTGTAACTTAAAACTTTGAAATGAATATGACATCTTCAACAAAGGCTCTTTTCTTCATAAAAAAAAGAATTGAATTGAAAGTTGATTCCACTTTTTTTTATTTTATCTGTGAGCCTTAACTTCAACAAAGTCTCTTGTGACTTGAAACTATAAATTGAATTGTGATATGATGCCACTTTTCTTATTTCAACTTTGAGCTTTAACTTCAACAAAGGCTCTTTTCTTTTAGCTTCAACCTTTGACTGAATTGTGACATAATACCACTTTTTTATTTTAACTAGCATGAACAAGCATAAGAAACTTGAACTCTTGCTTTGAGCTAAAACTTCTCCCTGGAGAGGTCACATAATCTTATAAGATCGTTCAAAATGATATTTTCATCGTCGCTTGCTGAATTTACAAATAACAAAATTAAGCTACATTTTAAGGTCTTAAGTCGAACACACTTCATAATGTCGTCATTTTGTAAGGAAAAGCATCCCCCTGGAGAGGTCACAGAATCTTATAAAATCGTTGAAAATGATATTTTTTTCGTCGCTTGCTGAATTTACAAATAACAAAATTAAGCTACATTTTAAGGTCCTAAGTCGAACACACTTCATAATGTCGTCATTTTGCTGCTGCGTTTCCAAATTAATTACGAAACAAATGAAGTTGAACTTGCCACGCTTACCTGCTACATCGTTCCATTCATTAACAGGCTCTGGGACGAGCTTGACTGAGCTAATTCCGTATTCTTTTTCTATCTGCTCCTTTATATAGCCCATCAAATTTGATTTTCCAGCTGCAATATTCGCCTCAATGGCAACCACAAAAGGTTTTGACACACATCGAATAAAGTGTGAAGAAAGTGCAGACGATAGTGAATTCATGTGTTCAAAACTGAAAAACAATCATATAAACACCAATTCCACATGAGTCGAAAAAAAAAAATAAATTACAAAAGGGGCCCTTCCGTTTAGTTACGGTAAGTGCACAAGCTGGATAGGGCCATACCAGCGGTATAAAAATGCATATATATATCAGCAATGAAGTCATAAATCAGCATTAAATGCATCGTCATAATGTTAATTTATCTTAGCCGTCCTTCCTCTACAATAGCGCTTATGGAGTTGTCGATAAATTGAACTTTGCGTAGCGATCTGCACCCCCTACAAAGTATAGAGCTCCTCAGGAGCGCCAAGCTTATTTTAGTTCTGATGTAGTTTATAGATTCTGGATAGCTTTCTTGTCTTTTTTCACTTAGTTTTTCGGCCAATCGCTGCATCGTCCGCGTGGCTGTTGGAGCGGCGCCACCGGTGCATCCAAAAATTAGCAGGCAGAAGCTACTCTGCTCTACGTTTAAAATTCTTTGCGGATATTTGGAGTTCTTCAGCGTTTCGTGGTATTTGTATGCATCCTTCTGCAGTTTTCGCGATGTTTTGGCATGGGGGTTGAAAATTTTCACATCAAAGAAAGCGCGGCTGAATCGTGAACCCCAGAGTCCGTTTGCCCTAATGTCAAGTCGTGCCTCATCTTCAGTTGTAGTTCAATTGTTGACAAAGCTTTCGCCTTGCAACAGCTGAAGTTTCGGCTCAATCTCGACGTCATGGCAAACCTCGTTCATGAGGTTGGCGAATGTGTCTCTGATTTCATTGTCTTATGTGTGTGTAACCACCCTTTGCACAGTGAAGCGCATGTGTCAAGTTAAAATCAGCACCACATGCACATGTGAGTGGGGTTTTGGTTGGTTCCCATCCGTATCTTAAGTAAATACCATCTCTGAACTCTGATTTATTCAGGTTGAAGTTGTATCTGCTCAGTGGTAGAGCATTGAGCCAGTTAGAGGCTCCCTTTTCAGAGGCCAGGTCGATTGCGTATTTATTTGTTTCATTTAAGGAGTTAATGAGGTTTGTCTTTTTTCGATTTGTTCTATCAGTTTTCAATTTTTTGATTTTCGTACATATTTTTTTTCTTGCTGTGTTACTGCTGTAATAGGATCTTGAGATTCCAGTATCAGTGATGTTTCCTTAGACCATTCTAGGTAGCTTTCATGATCGGATGGCAGCTTGATGTTAAGTCCGCCCATTTTAAGGGGTAAGGAAGATATCTCACAGAAATGGGGGTTTAAAGTGTCTTTACCGACTAGGTTAGGTAATAATTGTTCTTTGATAATATTTTCACATATTTCTAAGTTTTCCATAGTGTTAGGCGTTGTCCTGGCAAGAAATGAAAGCTTTTCTTGAACTCCTTTAGTATAGCAAGCATTAACGTTTTGAGGGGACGTTTTAGCAATTTTCGTTAGTTTTTTCAAAATTTTGATTTGCTCATTCTGTTGAAATTCGAGGAACTTTTTACATTCAGATTCTGTTCCTATAACTGAACCAAGCACTCGGGCTCCTGCCTTTATAGTGATTCCTGTATTTGCGAAGATTTTCTGAGCTTCACCGAGTTTTTCATCTTTCACAATGAGTTGGCATTTGGATGCTTTCACGTGGTAGCCGAAAAATTTACCCAGTGATACAACTTTTATCGAGGACGGTTCGTAGATTGCTTAATTTACCGACTGCGTTTCCGTCGTCTGCGTACTATTTCTGGGTTACATCGTCTACTGATAAAAGTTTTATGGGGGTTATTATGACTAGACCGTACATGGCCATTGCTAGTGGATCCCCCTGGGTTGTCCCTTCTTGAGAGTAGATTGTTTTTTTTTGTTAACGAATAGCTTAGATGGATTGGAGTAGGAGTTCTTAATTGCTGTTAAAAGGGAAGGGCAGGTATTTTTGATGTTTTTTAATGCCAGCTTTCGGTTCAGCGAGTTGAAAGCGTTTTCGGCATCTATCAGTAAAACAGCATCGGCGGAAGTTTTGCTGTATTGATCTCTTAGCGTGTGGATCGCTTACTCAATGCCACATTTTTGTCCTAGGCAGAGTTGGTAGTTTGAACCGAGCGACATGAGTTCGTTTTTTAGGCATTTAGTTATTGTTCGCCCTATTATCCTACGCATAACTTCTCCTATGCCTATGGGTCTTACCCCTGGATTCTTATCTAAGGGTATTAATCTGCATGCGTTATATGGTTCCATTAGTTCTGGATTTAGTTCTTCTGTGGCCAATTTTTTGGCAATTTTAGCAATTGTTTTTGAAATTTCAACTGATTGTTGCACGAAGTGTGTTAGAATACTTCTCCATTCATTCGCATCGAGGCCAGATGGTCCATGCGATCCGTGCGTTCTCATGGCTGCCTTCTTGATATGTTGACTTTTTATCTGATCAAATATCGTTGGATGGAAAGGAATTGTTTCGTTTGAGACTGGTGTAATATAGTTCTCATTAATTGGTTCAGATGGTGGGTGTTTCTCTATGAGAGTCTGTTCAACTGTATTACCTTTGACAATCTCGTCGAGCGAAAGAACGCCTTTAGATGTGTCTGTTAGTTTTGCAATTGCGCTTGATATTTTTCCAGTGTTCATTAGTTTGTTGAACTGTTGTGCTTCAGTTTCAATTTTTCTTCTACTTCCTTTCAACAAGCGCATTTGCAGCGCCTTTCCTTCGTTATATAGTCCATCCAGGTCTCCGTCTTGCCATTGCTTAAGTCGCCTTGCTATTGTTTTGGATAAAGATCCATCAATTTCGGACTTTGTTTTGCACAGTAATAAGTGTGGAAAAACCATTGCTGCGTGCATTGCGAAGGTGTTTTCGTTGTTTTCTATTAGGCTGTTCAAAGTTCTATTGAGGGTTTCAATAAAGTTATAACCAACTTTATTTTTTGACAAGATCATAAAGACCGGTTTCCAGTGGACCACTTCGGTGTATAATTTCCTGGTGGTTTCTATGAGTTCTGGACAGGGGTTTGACCATTGTTGTGTTGTTGTGGGTTCTATAGAGTAAGACTCTCCTGAGTTTTGTGAGTGTGGGGCAGTGGAAGGGTGAGGGTGCATTTGGGGGAGCGTGGTTGTAGCTAGGGTTGGGGGATTGCATTCATGCTTGTCGTTAGCTGAATGAAATCGGGAGGTGCAGCGATGACAACTGAAATCGTCATAGTGATCACTGCTGCGGGCTAGGCCGTTGCATTTTACATGCATGTAGCCTGGGCATGTGAAGCACCAAACACCTCCGCCTCGCAGGCTGCTTATACAAATAAGGCAGTGTGTTTGAGTAGCCATTTTAGGAAGGACGGCGGTGTCAAGTTAGCGAGAGAATTTATAGATTATATTTGCAAGAAAATTTGTAAAGAAATCATTACCGTAGAACGAGAAATGGATGCCATCACGCAGAACATTTGAGGCGTTAGATTTAGGTTGAGGTTAGGCGAAACAATAAGTGTATGGGGGTGTACAAATCTATTTATCAAATTAAACAGCACATGATTATGAATATAAATTTTGCGGTTTACTTCGGAACTATTACAGTTCTGAATTGTTTTGGGGATGATCAGTGTCTTGGGCTGAAACTTGTTAGTGACGAGGTTAATCAAGTTTTTCCACTGCTGTTCTAATTCTTGTGGATGCAGCCTGTAGTCATTGTATCCAGCAACTATTGTTACTGTATTTAGGCGCTTTGGTTTGTATTGTAAAACTGTTTCAAACAGATCATGAAGCGTCAAAAAAAATGAAAAATTTTGAAAAAAAAAGGTGAAAAAAATTTCGTATGTCATGATGAAGGGCACCTAAAGCTGGAGCTACTTGTTTGATAGTTTTTTGATCTGTTATACTGATGCGGGTTGAAATGCGCTATGTCAAAAATTGGGTTTTGCCCAAAACCTTAGTTATTTCTCTTCTAAAATAAGTGAAATGAGTGAAAATTTTTGAGGTTTTGGAACTTTCGGAAGGTCATAGCATTTTTCATACAAAAATAAACAAGTAGCCGCTTCTGCAAGAAAAAAATAGCGCAATCGCTTCTTTCGCTTGAGGTTTTCATCTCAGATTTGATAGGATAGTTTTTAATAAGCTGAAAAAGTCTGTCAGAAACGATCAAAAGATTTACACAATCCATAAACTTTATGTCCAAAAAGCAGGTTGTGGCTACTTAAGCAGAGAATATTCCCAAAGTCCGGCTTCTCGATTGATCAAAACCTGAGAATTGGTACAGTTTTTGTGTGAAATCAATAAACTTATTGAATAGTGTGGTTTTTATAAAGATGTCTCAAATCTTGTGTGGAAAGCCTCCAATTGGAGGATTTTTAAAAACAAGATTTTATGACTGGATACTCGAGGTTTCATACATTCAAGGAAGCACCAACAAAGTACCTATTCCTTGCGGATTCACAAGCGAGATTCCTATAAACCGGAAACCTCAACATCTTTTTGCTCCCTGGTGCCAGCATCAGGCACTTAAATGACTATATTCCACCCGCAGGTCGCTTTGAAATCATCATACTTTTCATTGGAGGAAACGACCTCTTTGACGGTTTCGATCCCTCGTCGGAGACTCCGCTAAAAGTTGCGCATGATCTGATAAAACATGCTGATTTTGCCTGCCAGAGAGCTCGCAGCAGCGTCTTTGTCCTGGGAATTACTGAACGCGACGAAAATAGAGAAAGAGCGAGTGTAACGAACGATATCGTCAAAGCAAGAGCAGAAAGAAAATCTCCCAGATTCAAAAAAAACCGAGTGGAAATATCGAAGTGTCAGTAGTTTCACGTCTGGCAGACGCTATTTCAAATTATATAAAAATCACCTCAACAACGACGGTCTGAACAACGTCAAAAATCCAGCAAAGAAAAAGTTTTGTATTCGAAATACAAAAAAGAATTGAAGGACGCAGGAAACACGAAAGTTGTCAATTGCAAAACAATAAACTGCCACTGTAGCCATTTATATCAACCACGCTAATACAATAGTTAGTATTTCTTAGTATTAATTTCCCAAAGGTACACTTAGGCACCACCGGTCATTCAATACTAAAACAAGTCCCGAATTTTTTAACCAAAGGTAACCTTAGGTACCACCGGTGAGAAATTGTACCAGCAAAACAACCAGAAATAATACCAAGTCAAAAGGAATCAAACTGAACCACATCGGACAAAAACAATAGCAATAACCAGACATTAGGAATAAGGATAAGAGGAGTAAAAGAGAGCGATGTGAAAAGGATCCTAGAAAGCGCCAAGAACACGATTTCTGCGATGTTCAAAAAACTCCCGATTGATATTGATAAAATGTTCCTTTGTTACGGTTAATTCTACTTAGTTACAAATAAGATATGTTTAAAAAGTGAATTAATCTCTAAGTTAAAACATTAAAAAGTGGACGGTCATTCTCTCCGTCGGAGAGAATGAAGATAACAAGGTCATATCTAAATTAACCAGTTAAGAAACTTTAAAACTAATTAAATGAAATAAGACGAATAGTAAGATTCGCAACATTCCCCTTAGTGGGAAAAAAAATTAAATTAATAAGCGCCATGATACATAACATGTTATCTCACCCTTTTTCTCCCTCTCGAGAAGTCCAACAAGGATTGAAAATTAAATACTGTGCAATATCACAAATGAAATTTTAGTACTCCGAAGGAATGACTGGATTAGAAAGGATGATATGATTTCTAATTCCGGCGGATTATAATCCCTAGTTATAAGAAGGTAAACTCTAACTGCGCTGAAATGAAACACTAGTACGATATAATGACTAAATGTGAGTTTTCAAGTTTTTGATTTAGTTTAGCTGTCCCCTTCCATGAATTTTTCTAGCTCAGCGTTAAAAATGTCACTGTCTAAGTCGATGAAGTTGTCGAAATTGTTCACCGCATCTCTCAGGGATTCGTCAGTAGAGGCGATGGAGAATTGATCAGGGGATGAAGGGTACGCTGGGCCCGGTGCACGGTCCTCCGGTAGAGTGTCGCAAATGTGAGTCTGGTTCTCCGAGGGTTTCTCTCTGAAGGTTAGAGTGGGGATTCCAGAGCTGTCGCCTTCGTCCAGAGATATATGGTTATTCGCGGAGCCTGGTTGGTTTTCGCACTCGTCTATAATATCTATGTAATATCGCTTACCATAGAATTGTGGGGGACCAACATTTCGACTTGAACGTCTTAATTTAAATTCGTTACCGGTGGTAGTAATTTCCTTGGGATGTCTTTCCTCACTGTTTGCACTTTCGTTAGAGGAGTCCTCTATCTCAAAGACTGGAAATTCCACCGGATTTTCTCCTTCCAATGCTTTTGATGAATCCGAAGGACTGATTGGGCCCTTTGTTGTCATAGCGGTAGAAGATTCGCCAGGTGTGTGTGAGGTAGATTGAGGTGCTGGCTTTATACCAATTGGGCATTCCGCTGTATCTGTAGATTGAAGTTGTTCGTCTAAAATCTCAGATTTTATATTAGTTTGATATGTTTGAGGAGCTAATGGTGGGGGAGGGTTTTCGTTAAAATTGAGGTTATCTGAAATGAAGCGTTTTCGTATCATTTCTCTGCATGGAAAACCTCCCGCAATCCATTCCCAATCACTAATGTCCGACGTATCCGACGGAATGAACATGGATTCGTCACCTGCTAAGTATCCTGTGTTCGAAGTCGAGGCTTTATTTCGGTTTCGCTTCGGTTTGTTGAATTTAGTAGGCTGTCTCGTTCCTCTATATCTGGTGGTGACCGGGGTGAAAGACTCTGTGTGTCGTCCTGTCCTAGTGTCTGGTTTCTGCGTCTGTTGTGTCTTCGCTTTGTTTGTCTTTCTTGGACCTACTTGTAAATCACTGTTAGAAAAAGAGGGAAATGAGATATTTCCTTTGAATGAACGAATTGTAGAGGATTTAGACTTTGGGATGGCGATGTCCGATTTTCTAATGATTTTTCCGTCGGAGAGTTCAACCGTGGATTTTGTTGAGTTTATTATTTTCTGACCTAGTTGTTTATAGAAGGGATTTCCGTTTATACTTCCGTTGGTTTTCCGTAGTAAATTACCTTCAAACGGACTGTTTAAGGCCACTCGAGAAGATGAAGGTTTTGAGGTTGTTGGAAGGTCTGAGTCGTAGCCTTTCTCCAGTGGTGACTGGTTCTTTTTCGGTACTAGAAGGTCTTTGTATCCGTCCTCTATCCGATCGTCAGCATTCCAGTCAAGGGCCCTTTCTCTGCTTAAGATCGACTTCCCTTTGTCTAAAAATCCACCGGATAATTTATTAGATGCCAATTGCTTCCAGATCGTGTTCGGTTTTCTATTAAAGTGTATTTCGAACGGTGAGCATTTTATTTTTGATTGGAAGGAAGATCGTAAATTCCAAATGATTTTCGAAATGGCAATTTGTAATGTAGGTTTTTGTTGTTCCAAAGACATTGCTAATAATTTGATTTTTACAGTATGAACAAGTTTTTCTACAAGACCGTTAGAACGATGATCCCCAACTGTACAAAATATTAATTTGATATTAAGAGAATTGCAAAACAATTTAAAATCCTGACTAGTAAAACAGGATGCGTGGTCAACACGAATGGAATTAGGAATCCCATGGAGATAAAAATAATCTTGAAGGAATTCGATTACCGTGTTTGATGACGTTGAAGAAATAATTTTTGCTGATGGGAATTTTGAAAAACGATCTATACATAATAAGATGTATTTATTGTTTCCCCAGTTGTTATCTAATGGACCGGCAAAATCAAGGTTTAATTCCTCATTTGGTTCAAATAAAGTGGGGAGTTCGCTAATTTGTGTAGTTGGTATGATGCTTTTTATATTCTTACCAGT